GGCAACGTTTCACTCCTTGAAAATGCTCAATAAACTGATGCTAGAACTGTGGATCTAAACTCACACTGAAATTTGGTTATTTATTCATCTGACAGCTCCCTAGTTACAGACTGGTTCTTCACACAGCAAAATCTAACAGTTTCTAGTTATTTTGAGGACAGAAATCTTCCAATTCTGACAGTGTGTGCTCAAAAACTTCGTGTAAGCAAGGCTCAAATATTTTCAAGCTTGGTTTTGTTACTGCAAATTAAACTATGCACCCACCCACTGTCCTTCCCCAACAATTAGTGAAGGAGTAACAAAGACATACTCCTTGGGGACAGCTCCTTACAGGACCCGAGTATCACACTCCAAGATCTGCCCCACTTCTCAACTACTGGCTCCTTCCAGTACTCTGCCTAAGCCCTACATGCAGTTTCCCCGTTATAGCAGCTTTATCCTTTCGTTTTCATCTTTTTCCTCCTTTCTCTTTTTCTCCTAAAGTGAAAAGTTCTTCAGCCTTGCTGCATTGGTCGTCTACACCCTCATGGTCGTCCCTCCGCTGCCTCCCGTAAGAGCCGCAAAGACCCGTTCCACAAACGCGGCCGGCCCGGACGGGAGAGCGGGGCCGGGCCGGTCTCCCCAAGGCCAGGTGAATCCCGCCCCGCAGCCTCCAGCCCACTCCCCTTCCTCACCTGCCGCATCAATGCCGTCACGCAGCCTCCGCGCTCCGGCTCCCCCGCCGGCGGCTGCCTCGGCTGTTCCGGCACCCGCAGCCCAAGGCACACCCGGGCTGCGCTCAGACCCGCCAGCTCTGGAGGCGGCCGGCGCGGAGCCCAGCGGCCCTCCCAGTTTTGCTGGCGGTGGCAACCCCGCTCCCGGCTGTTGGGCCGACCGCTTCCCCGGGCTACTCCGAAACCCAGCAGCAGTCCCAGCACTGCCAGGCTCGGGCCGGGCTGGAGCTGTGGCGGTTCCGGTTCCTCCTCGCCCTGCCCTGGCCAGGGGCGGGGCCGCGGCGCGCGGGCCCAGCTGAGAGCGTCTGCGCTCCCCGCCCCCCAAACAACGCACTCCATTGGCCGGCGGCGAGCGGAAGCGAGGCGGGGGTGGGGCCGCGGCTGCGGCCCCAGCGCGAGCCAAACAAAGCGCGGCGCGGGGCTCGTGACGAAAGCTGCGCGAGGAGGAAGAGACGGCAGCGCGTGTCCGCCAGGGCCGGGGTGAATCCGAGATCTGGCTGTTGATTGGCTGAAAGAAAAACCAATTGAGAGCCCTTTAACCGAGACCGTCGGACCGGGCCCAGGATTCCATTGGTCAGGGAGCGGGTGATTTGCATGCGGCGCAGTATTTGTGGCTGGCGGGTGGGGGTGCTACGGCTTTGCCCTGGTTCGTCGGCTTCCGCGTAGTGCTTCCCCCGGGGCCTTCCTTCTCCCGCATAGAGTGGGCCAGCGGAGCTGGGGCTCGCTACCTACGGAAATCGTATTGGGCCGGCAGTACTGTTAAGTCTCGCTCCCTTTGCTGGGACCCTGGGAAAAGTGTGGGGCCGCTCTTACTGGAGCAATTGGGACGTTCCTGGGCTGTATATGGAAACAGGCACCCCATATGAGGCCCTTCGCTGGACCAGGGCTTGCTGCAGGGCATTCTTCTTTTTACAGCGGGCGCTCCTTGATGTGGACTCATACTTCTATGTGGTGCCTTCACGTTAATTGCTAAGCAAGATAATTTTAAAAAAATCTTAAAACTGATAGTGCGTGAGATGCTTATCCCTTAATAACGTGTTTGTGGAAAGAACATTAGATCATTCTCTTTTTTGATCTTTATAACGCTCATAGCAGGAAATGCCTTAGTCCTCTTCCGAGGAAAATCTTTGTAAGCTTAGAAATAAAGTCGTAACTAGTTAAACCACATGATGATGTCTAAATTATGAAAAATTTGGCTCCCGTGGAGCATGTTGTAATTAATTGTCTATGATGATTGGAACATGTCTTGAGCACTGTAAATATGCTATAAAGTGTATTTGTGAGTAACCAAATGGAATTTGTTAAAAAAAAAAGTTTGTCTCCAGTGCCTAGCTTTGCATTTAAATCTACATCTTAATTGTTTGGGGGTTTTTAAGAGAGTATTTTTCAGTTTTGTTATAATCTAGCACAAGATCTTATGGCTTATTTTTGCTCCTTTGTTTGGCCACAACTAAATTCAACAATACTGTTAGGAAATTATGGATTCTGCATCTCCACTACCAGGTATTTCCATAGTGCCTTCCTGAGAGATGTCGAGTTACATTCAGCTCTCCAGCTGAAGGTTTCCATTCTCTCTGCATGTAAATAACTTTCCATTCTTGAATAGCCTAATTTCCTCCAGTGGACTGTTAAGGTGTGAAATTGCTCATGTGTCTAAATGTTTGTGAGAGAAAAGCTGACTCAAAAGGAGTTGGACAAGAGCTGAAAGGCAGGGGGTAGGGTGAGACATCAAAAGGCATTTGAACTTCCATTTGTTCGGTTTTGATCACAGCACTTCCCCGCTGTTCTGTTTTTATAGACCTGCACAACTACAAAATACAAATAATCTTCCGGTGTTTGTTGCTGTGGTTTTCTAGGCCAGGCAAGAATATTAACTTGGATTTGTCCCACATCCTGAGTATTTTAAGGTATGAACAAATTATGTTTTTACTAGAAAACAGAGCAAGCAATGCAGAACTGTTCAGCAGAAGGACAAAGTTAGTACTTTAAATTTATGTTAAATTGTTTTTAATTTTGCATCTAATGTGCATGATCATTGCAAATTATAACATGGAAATACTCTTCCAAAGATCCTAGATGTAAAAGCCACCAATATAGTGAATGTTCTGTATTTTGATTTTAGATTACTTAGAAGCTAGTACATTTCATTCATAATTTATTTCTTCTTAAAGGGCTCTGAAGTTGTTTATTCTGGCAAAAAAATAACGGATGATCTTTGTGTTGTTAAAGCAGTTCTTTCCCATGCAGGTAAGAGGATTTAAATCAAGACAGACTGCTATTGTTAATCCCTTATTGCTTGCAGAATAGGAAGCACCTAGTCCTCCAATTTTGTTTTTGTCTTGTTGTGTGACGTCAAGCTCTTAGGGGAAGAGAGGAAATGGACTGTGAACAACTGCACTACTGCAGCCAGTCATGGGGCTTTAGGGACTTGGAGCTGTTAGGCATCTTTTATGATACCAGGGACTTGGAACTAGATGATTTTTAAGGCCCCTTCCAACCCAAACTATTCTGTGGTTATATGATTTTATGAGTAGATGGGAAGATATTAAGATCCTAGGATTTCACATTCACTTGTCTATTTATCACAGAAGCAGGGCTTCTCTGTTGGATATTGAAGGGCAGGAAAACTTTATTTCCAGTTAAGCCTGCACAAATGCAGGTATATAGTTTAGTAATTGGGAAAAATTCTGTGCAACATTGAATCAGCCAATTCTGAGAGCTGTAAAGTGGTCACTTGAGCAGAGTGTCAGTGGGTTGTTTAGACTATTTTTATTCTAGCCCAGAAAGGAATGATAGACTAGATGATTTTTTGAGGCTTCAGCTGGCTGTGTGTCTCTGACTTGTTTGTATCACATAGTTGCAGTAGTTTCCAGAACAGCCTGGTTGTCTGAGAAAACAGGGCATCTGACACATGGTCTGCTCAAATCCTCAACTTTGTCTGACAAACTCAAAGCTACAGTGGGCAGAGACAAGAGATGAATTGCTGATTGCTTTGGGAGTGGCACCTGAGTGAACTAAAGGGGCTATTGCATGTTCAAGGATCCACCATGAAGAGATGCCATAAATGACTGTTAGAGCTGATGCCTTTTAAGGGAGAAGATAGAAAGCTCCAGGAAACAGGACTTTGTCAGTTCTGCTGCTCTGGTCTACAGGGGTTGCTGACTCGTAACAAGAAGGTCTAAAGCTAGTATTTTGCCTCTCTACCTGAAGCCTACCCATAATTTGATTAGGTATACAGCGTGTTTCAATACAGTGTGCTCTCACTATGTACTTTTTCCTATTTCCTACTAAAACAGTGTTGCTGGTTGTTGTTGTTTGTTTGTTTGTTTGTTTTCCGGAAGAGTCCCCTTGTATTTGGGAAAGGAAACTGATAAAACACCACATAAACTACATGTTACACATGGCCAGTCAACCTTGAAATATGCAGGAGCTGCTTGTCATAGCTGTACCAGGTGTGTCTGCTTTTCATCGGCTTGCGTAGAAGTGTTGTGACTTCAGAGGAATTACAACTGACTGTGGATGGGACAGTGCTGTGAGGATTTGGTCTTGAATTTTTTCAACCTTTTTGAAGGTGTTAGGCAAACCTGGCTGTTAGGGCTGGCTGCAGGCCCAATGGGGGCAAGAGCTGGGAATGGAGCTGGGCTGTACCTGACATGGCTTGTAGATGGCGTGCTGAGGAGGTGCAGGGTGGTAGGAAGGGCTTTACGGGTTGTCTTCATTTATATGTTACTAGAAAAACTTGGTCATTAAGTAAAAAATTTTTCCCCCAACACTCAAAGAGCCGCTGAGCTCCGGGCGGTATAATTAAATATGGTTACGATATGCGTTCACGGAGGTTCACCTGGATCACGCTCCGTCACAGCAGGTGCTCGATAGCGTTTGGGGCCGGGAGGATTTGGGGAAGGATCTCGATTCTCAGGGCGGCGGCACAGTCCATCACCTGCGACAGAAGGAGTTCCTCGCAGGTCAAGCCACCAAACCCTGAAGACGGCTCTGGGACCCGCGCGCAGCGCGCGGACAGCGCAGCAGCCGTCACTCGCGGGGACCGCGCGACCACCGCCAGACTCACTGCGCTCGGCACTTTCCGCCACTCTCCGTGTGCTGCCGGGCGGCTTCGGCCATTCCCGCCACCTCTCGGCTCCACTCGGCAATTTCCGTTCCGGCTCGCCACGTTGTCGGGGTAACGCTAAGCATCGCGGAGCGAGTGCGGCCTGCGGCACGAGCGGTGAGCGCGGGGGTGGGACAGAGGGGGCGGGCGGCGGGCTCTGCTTGCAGCAGCCTGCGGCGTGTCGGCTGGCTCTCCATGGTTGTATCTGCGTCCGGTCCGCGGCAGCGGGGTCGATCGCAGTCAGCCGGAGGTGAGGGGCGCTCGAGTTGCTGCTCGCGGGCGGCGGGAGCTGGGGTGGGGGCGGCCGAATCCACCCGCGGGCGAGAACATAGTGGCGTGGCCCGCGTGTTTGCCCTCTTGGAGCCCCTTGTTCTGTGCCGGCGAGTGGCGGTCACGGCGTGGATGAGAGACTCGGGCAGGGTTCGGTCCACTCCAGGAGCTGCTTACGACAGCAGCAGCCTGGGCTTTGCCTGGCACAGGCTCCCCACCCCTTCTCCCTTTGTGCGGGTCTAGGATTCAACCGGGATTTTACTTAATCTGTTTTACTAGTTAGAAAAGATTGTACATAGTCATTAACTATCTTTTTGTTGAACAGAGCAGTTTGGTGTGGGGTTTTTTGGGTTTTTTTTTGTTGTTGTTTTTGTTTTGTTTTGTTTTCCTGGGGCTGGCTATTTTGAACAATTGCAAGTTTAAAAACCAGCATTTCTTATAGGTAGGGATTAAAGGAAAAAAACCTCTGCTTTTGCTTTGGAAACTTGAGTCTTGTCAGGGAGTCTTTCAAGGCAACTTGGACAGTGACCCCTTTCACAGTGTGTGTAGTGACTGGGGGGCATGAGAGTGCAAAGCTCTACAGGTACAGCAAACAAAGCTGGTATCAGCCTCGCTTAAATGTGCTGATAACACTGTGACAGATCATAAAAGCAGCTTTTATAAAGTATTGTCCTCTAAGACAGAATAGCTTTTTTTTTTTTCTCCCTGAACATATTTTGTGAAATATGTGTGCACGTTCTGGCTTGCTGCTGTCATTTGCAGTTATTAATGTTGTCTGTAGTATTCATCTCTGTGAATCTCATTAAGTTCAACAAAGCCATGTGCAAAGTTCTACACTGGGTAGGGGCAATCTCCATTACCAGTATAGTCTGAAGGATGAACAGATTGAGAGCAGTCCTAACGAGAAGACGTCGGGTACTGATGAATGAAAGAATGGAAATGACCTGGCAGTGCACACTGGCAGCCCAGATACCCTGATGTCCTGGGCTCATCCCCCCAGCGTGGGCAGCAGGGAAGTCTGCCCCTCTGCCCCGCTCAGGTGAGACTTTCAGGTGTACCTCGAGCTCTGGGGCTCCAGTGTAGGAAGGACATGGAGCTGGTGGAGAGAGTCCAGAGGAGGCCACAGAGATACTCCAAGGTCTGGAGCCACTCTGCTCTGGAGCCAGGCTGGAGAGCTATGGTTATTTAGCCTGGAGAAGGCTCTGTGAACACCTCATTGTGGCCTTCTAGTATTTTAGGAACCCATTCAGTGCCAGTGCCAGTAGTTTAGGGTACAGTTGCAGTGCAAGCTGCAGATTGAGCTTTGGGTGGCCAAAGCAAGACAGAGACTGAGATGGGGTTGTCCATAATTTATGTGACAGTATCTCTGAATCTTGTTTAGGAAGTGCCAGTCTGCCATTTTAAATATACACAGTATTGGTTGAAAATTTTTTTTTGCTGTCTGTTAATTCCGAAAGTTAAATTAGTGAGCTGAACAAGAGATGCAGTTTGGAAGCTTGATAAACTTATTTCTGTCATTGAAGGAGACTGAAATATCTGAATAATAATAAGTAATATTTATGACTACAGATGCAAGAAACACTTAAAAGTAGAAAATGGTGGCTATAGAGAAGACATTACAGCTATATGACTTGTGTGATAAAACTGTTGATATGAAATGTAGTTTTTTTTTCATTTAGGCATCTAATATTTTTATTTTAATCTGAAGTAAAATTCTTTATTATTTCAAATTTTGAGTCTGCATAAAGCTTATCGTCAAATATGGACTAAATCCTTCCTATCTTACAGGAAGATGAAACAGATAAAACAAGGAGTAAAGTAGTAGTACTTTCTGGGCAGAGAATTCTGGAACAGTACTGGAGATGTAAGAAGACTTTTGAAATGTATGAAATCAAAATGAGAAGCACTCTAAATTTTATTTGAAAGGTTTGTTGAGGATTTTTGAGTGGCTATAAAACTAGACCCCCTCAATACCACTTTGGGAATTCTAAGAGTTTTGAAGGATTGTGCAGATAAAGGTGAGTGGCTCTTGCTAAAAGATGAAATGCTTTGTCCTTAGGCTGACTGCTCTTGTCTGCTCTCAAATCCAGTAGTTGATGTTGTTCCTTGTTATGTGTCAGAGGCAAGATACAGAACTCACAGCTTACTGAACAGGGTTGCCTACCTTTCTAAATTAAGTGTCCAGCAAATTAGTTATTTTAGGTGCTGACAGAAGATTTAAAGAAAAGAGACCTTAAGAGTCTGTTCATGCCCATTATATATGCTGGTGGCTTTGGCAAGTCTCACTGCTATGCATGTGTGTGCCTGAAGGTTCTGAACTCATGATTTAGCTGTGTAGAAGAAAGCATCTCTTCCCCAAAAATGTCACAGGAGTCTTTTAAATGTTTCATGCTTGGGGGCTTTTTTATGTGTGTATGTTTGTGTGCTGGTTTTGTATTAATTTATATTTCGTGAGGAGGGAAGAAGCCACTCACGGAAATGATTTTTCTAGGAGGGGGCTGCTGAGATCTTCCTCTGTGCTTAGCAAAATCAAATAGCTGGCTAGCTCTGAGAACTGACAACCTATTAATCCATTTAAAAGCTAGATCCGCCTTTGTGAAATACACACTTTAAAGACAGGCAAGCCCGGTAAAGCTCTCTCTTGCGTCCAGCTTTGAAAGGTACCTGGGCACTGGTGGGGCTGGCCCCACTCCGCTTCCGGCCCGCGTGGCCTGGAGGGGCCGGGCCAGACCGGACCCCAGCATTGGCCGGGCGGGTTACGGGAGGCCGCAGGGCCCGGGGCAAGGCTGGGCGCTGGGGCCGCGGCTGCTCACATCTTGCTGACACCAAGCCCACGCCCTCTCCCCCGGCCCGTGCCACGCCGGGCCCCCTCTACCGCGGCCATCGCGGCCCAGCAGTTGCCAGGCAGAGGGAGGGGAAGCCATCAGCCCATAGCTGAAACGGAAGGAAGCAGGGAGCAGAGACCAGCCATGCAGCCAGAACGCCACCATGGTTCCCGTTCTGGCTGGGCCCTCTGAGATCTTGGCACAGCCCCAGTGCGGCCTGAAATCCATCACCGTGACTACTTTGGCCACTGCCCAGCAGAAACCATCATGACCATCTGTAGGCCTGGGCGAGATATTAACTCTCACTACACAGATGAAATTTGCAAAACATTGATCCTCTCGAGTGAGAGAAAAGCGTAGAATGAAGACACATAGAAAACCAACATGAAGACACTAAGGTCAATAAAGGAGTCAAGTCCCAGATGGAAGGAGAATGAGGAGATGCCCTAGTATTGGGCTGAAAATTCTTTTGGTAAGGCCATGGAGATGGGCTATGGTACACTAAAATATTCTGTTTAATTAATGAGAAAGTATGGGGGGATGGAGTGTTCAAACTGTAGATGTGAGCAGAGGCATCCATTAATGAAGCAAAGCAGATGTTGAAGTAGCTGTGATCCCATGACAAGCTTGAACAGAGAGAGAGAGATGAGAGTGACGATGACCCTTTGCCCCCAGGGAGAGAAGAAGACCTCTGTTCCCAGAGATGAAGATGATTGCAGAGATAGATGGAGAGAACCTTTGCTTTTGAACAGTTAATCCTTAAAATAATACCCCATAAGTTGACATGGCTCATTAACTCAGCAATGGGAAGGCTGTGAAAATGGAACTTCACGACTGCAGATTTTCCTGGGCAGCTGCTATTTGTGGAAGTTAAAAGCCACAAGAGAACTGTTTCTTGTGGTGAAGTCTCCATGGCGTGGTGAGAGAAAATTCCTCTCCCTACAAGAACTGATGAAAGACTATTGTAGGGGTGGTAACTGATTTAAAATGACAGGTTTTGTCTCTATGTTGTCAGTTGGAAAAGAAAAGAAGTTGGGCAGGGGAAGGAGAAGTGTTCTGAAGGTTTTTCTCTGATTCTTATTATTCTTTCAGTTCTGTTAATAAAGTTTCCTTTATACCTTTTAAGTATTGAGCCTGCTTTGTCCTCCTCCTAATTAATATCTCACAGCAGGAAATTAATAATTCTAGTAGGTGCACTGGTGATTTTAGCCAGCGCTAAACCCGTTACGTTATTTGGTGCATTGGCTGGGAAACTCAAATTAGCAAACCTAAACCACTACAGTTTGTTTGTGTTGTTTTTTGGGGGGGTTTGTTTTGTTTTTCACCAGATCTTGGCAGGGTTCTGTATCAGGAGGAGTAACCCTATGCCCCAGTCCAGGCTGGGGGCTGCCCTGCTGGACAGCAGCCCTGTGGAGAAGGACCTGGGGGTCACCAGCTGTCCTTGAACTAGCTGTGTGCTTTGGGGCCAAGATGGCAGATCCTGCAGTGTGTGGGGAAAGGCATTGTCAATGAGTCAAGGAGGGGATTCTGCCCCTCTATTCAGCCCTGGTGAGGCACATCTGGAGCACTGTGTCCAGTTCTGACGCTGAGCCTGCTGAGCCTTAAAAAGAGATGGCTAAGAGGGTACCTCATCCCTGTCTGTTAGTGTCTGCAGGAAAAGCTCAGGAAAATGGACCAGACTCAGCTCTTTGGGCCTCAGCAATGGCATAAGAGGCAATGGGCAGAAACTGGAACACAGGAAGTTTCATCCAACTGTGAGGAAGAACTTTACTGTGTGGGTGACTGGCTGCCCCAGAGAGAATGTGAAGTCACCCTCATTGTGGATATCCCAGAATTGTCTGGACACAATCCTATGCTATGTGCTCTGGGAAGACCCTGCTTGAACAGGGAGGCTGGACCAGTTGACATACTGAACTCTATGACTCTGTGATTATTTGCTAGTAATTTGAGATGCTTTTCTCCAGCTGTTTTGAAACTGAGCCAACTGGATCCCATGACACAAATCCCAAAGACCATTTCTGTGTATAAATTATTACAGATTATTAGTGGTACCCTCTGTTTCTGACCCATAACACTGAAAAGAGTTTTGTTCCCATGTTATTTTCTGTACAACATCAGCACTTACTTTTTTCATTCAAATGTTGGTAATAGTTTCAGTGTAAATAGCAGATAATATGTGATTTCAACCGTACAAGCTCCAAAGTGATGACAGCTGTTGAAACTTACTTTGAAAGCCCAGACACGAGACTTTGCAACATAAAAGACTTCAGTCTGTACTTTAAGTAACATCTTTGGGTATGAAGTACTGGAAGTAACTTTCTGGTAAATTCTGAGTTATTTCAGAGTCCTTTGAAGTAGGCCAGCACAAGGCACAGGTGAGAGACTGGTACCAGCCTATATACACTGAATCTACAGAGTATGAGGCTCAGTGTTTCTTTTTTTTTTTTTTTAATGCCATTCTGACTTTTCCAATGTCTATGTAGTATGTGTGACAAGATGATGCTGTAATTTTACTTTCCCCCTATGTTTTAATGCTACGTTATATGTAGTTATTATATATTAAATAAATTAAATATAATATGGCGTATATGTAGTGTATATGTATTATTGATATAAGCATAGTTGATAGAGATGTTTGTTTTCCTTGTACAGGTGTGCAGTCTGTGACAGGTTCTGTTGTTATGGCTGTATATGTGGATCATCGAACAGATGCACCCGATTCCATTGCCTCCTGTTCCCATATAGCCTGGCACCCACTTCATCCACTCCTGGCAGTTGCTTCCATCAGCACAGCAGCTGGGGGCTGTGTGGATATCTACCTGGAACAGGTAAAAAATCAGCAACTTTGCTTTTGGTCTCAATATAGTCACAGAATCGCAGGATGGTTTGGATTGGAAGGGACCTTTAAGATTGTCACATCCCAACCACCTGCCATGTGCAGGGACACTTTCCATAGACCAGGTTACTCCAAGTCCTATCCAACCTGGTCTTGAACACTGTCAGAGATGTGAGAGATGTGTGAGAAGTCACAGTTTCTCTCAACAACTTTATCATTGTCCTAATTTAAAACTTCACATTTTTAATCTCTGGTTTTGCAGGCTTACTTTTCCTCCTCAAATGTCTCTGGGTTTTAATTACTATGTCCTGTGCTATCTCGAACATGGCAGATTCATAGCCACTCATTATATGTATTTTTAAAAAGATCTTAATAAATTAAATTGATCTTTGCTTTGAAATGTGATGATTACAGCCTGTAAGTCTTGTTTATGATGGTTACTGATTTGCTTTTTGCTTCTCATAGTGGGAGAATTTCAGACTTATAACACATGCTGGTGCTTCTTGGTAACTCTTAAGTGAATAGAACATACTAAGAAATGGAAATTCAACAAATCATTCCACCACCTCAAGACTGAACTGATTTTTTGTCTATAGACAGATAATTATTTTGCATACCCTAACTTTTATATGAGAGCCTTGTGTAAGACTTCAGGTTGCATAATTTTTAGGGAAGTATCACTAAAAGGTATCTAGCAGCAGACTGAAACATGTAAATCTGTTAATATGATAGCCTATAAAATGTGTACTTCTCAAAGTGTATTCTGAAAAAATTGTCATCCAAGTTTAACAAATGGAAAAATAAATACTTAGGTTAAATGATTTGTATGTAATATTCTTGTGAACCGTGTCCAAAGGAGGCTCTGCCTTTAACAGCTGTTGAAGCATTAGATTATTCTATGTCCTTAGTGACAAAAAATAATAAACAAAGAATTACTTATTCTTTTTCAATAGCTGGAATTTCTTTTTACCTTGAAATGTGCTCAAAGCCTTCTTATATCCTCTATACGGGAAAGAAAGCTTTGTATTGACTGGGCTGTGAATCTGAATGTTTGTCTGCTGAGTTTTCATTGGACTGAGCTCACACTGATTTCTGTTTCCAGGGAGAACATGTGCCTGATTGCCATATTGAGAGAAGCTTTCAGGTCACATTACTTGCCTGGCACCCTTCCAGACCCATTTTGGCATCAGGATGGGAGACAGGAGAAGTTCTGATACTGAACAAACAAGACAAGGAGCAGCACACTGTACCCCCAAATCACAGCACCAAAATCACAGCCCTGAGCTGGAGTACAAGTGGTACCTGCCTTGCATCTGGGGATGGAGTGAGTAGCTGAAATGCTGCATGGGTTTGATGTGGAACACAGTCTTGGAAGCTCTGTAATGGGAAGGGATCGTGTAGTGGAGATCCATGGGGAAGGGAGAGTTGTGTGGGAGAGTAATTTCCTTTCCTTAGGTAAAAATTAAAACTGTTAGGGAATAAAATCAAATCTTAGTGTTTTAACTTTTTCTACAGTGTTATTCTACAAATAAAAAATTGCTGCTCTATAATTTTTCTTAAGTGTCAGATCTCAGTGAGTGCTGAGTGTTGATGAAGGTTTAATGCTGTTTCATGGATGGAATAATTAAGGTATAGATAATTTGAATTCTTTTGCTCCTGTCCATGCAAAAATTTTATGTCACTCAGGAATAAAGCCTAGATGTTGAGAAACAAATGCAGCTACAACGTATGCATCCGTAGCGAGTGCAGAGCAGTGCTCACAGGAAACCCATATTAATCTCTCCTTTTCTGGTTTTATTAATGCCTTAAAATTGTGTCAAATTGATTGTATTGGGAAATGTGATACTCTATTTCTTGATGACCTGGTTGCCCTTTTGTATAGTGACGTGAGAAAGTAGCTGTTGAATATCCAGGATTAAGTATTCATAGAAGATTCTGATTTTGCTAGTTCCCAAGCCAGCCAGTGAAGAAAAAAAAAGAATTATTTTCTTTTTTTCCCTGATACAAACTTGAGCTTGCTCAAGAATTTCAGTTCTGCTCTTACCTATACATCAGAATTTTTATTCTGAGGAAAAAATTATTTTAATTCATTGTTTGTAAAGTTCTGCTGCTGCATTTGACAGAAATGCAGAAATTCAAAATTGATTAAAAAGATAATTTATAATCTTCTTTATTGGAAAAGAGGAAGTTTTGCCCAGGCAAAAGATGGACACATCTCAGTGTAGCTGAGGCCTTAATCATAATGAGACAGTACATTGATGTAGACAGAGCTTACATTTATGAACAAATTGTTTTGAAATTGATTTCAAACCAGTGTCGCTATGCTATGGTCTGAGGTGCAGCACAGATATACTTCATTTCCTACATATTTCCCAATAGTTTATAAGTTTATTTTTAATATTTTTCCCATGAGGGTTTGTATTTAGGAAACTTCCATTAGGTGAGTGCTACCAGGATCATGCTCTGCTCATATTAGAGGAAAACCTGTAGAAAGAAGATAGGTATTTCGACCCTGATTTGGTTTCTTTCCTGATTTTCCCAGGGGGTGGTAGGACACTGGAAAGGCTCCCCAGGGAATGGTCAGAGCTACAAGTCTGCCAGAGTTCCAGGAGTATTTGGACAATGCTCTTGGGCACAGGGTGGGATTGTTGGGGTGTCTGTGCAGGGCCAGGAGTTGGGCTTGATGATCTGTGTGAGTCACTTCCAACTGTGCATTATCTTCACTAGGATTTTTGTCATCATACATCCTGAAATGCAAGAAAATTATTTGAAAATAACTTTGTAAAGTTGGAATAGGATGCTGTGAAAATCAGAAGCTCTTAATTTGTTTTAAGTAAAAATAACATGGATGATTTCCACATTTTGATCACACAGAGGATGTAGGTGCTTTCTATAATGAAAGCCTATTTGGAAGGCCAATAGCTTTCATACCAAGGAACTAAAGCTTTGGGTTTTTAAAAATGATTGGGAAGCTACAGGATGGAATTAGAGAATATCTCCATTTGTAAAGGACATTTAGATAGATGATTTGGTCATTGTCCTGTGTCCTTTAAAAATATAATTTGAAAACAGACAAGTTCTGCATCCTTTCCAGTGACACTTAGGAGAGGTAGTGATCCTTTTTTGTTTCCAATCTCATGTGTTCCAATCTAAGAATTGAGATTACAAGTAGGTTATCTGGATACAGGCTGGACTATCTAGAAGGAGATGGAAGGAAGGTCAGCAGCTTCAAAAAGCTGCAGGCTTTTCCTCCATCTTATAAATGGTGCAAGGTAGTTTTAATTTGGATCCTTGAAAACTGATGACATACAAAGCTGATGGAAGAGTAAGAGGAGAAACCAACAAGTTCATAGGGTCCTGTGATTTTCAGAGGTAACTAGCAAACATTTTATGAACTGCAAATGTTTTCTTGGGACAGCAGTATCACAGTTGCACAGCTGAGTGGTATTCTTTAAGCTGCAAGACACATTGCACTTAATAAACAGACTTGGATGGTATAATTATTACCATTTTACTGTCGAAAAGAAGTTAGAACTTTGAATCTTAGGAAAAAAAGAAGGAAATGTTACCTTGGAAGGCCTTGGCTGCATCTTGTGTGGCTTCTAGTTAGAATTGTGAAGAATAAGTGACCACTGCTATCAGTCTAACTTGTAGGAGAAGGATGATACTTCATTGAAAACAGTTAATAAAAACAGAGCAAATTCTAAAACCACTTTACTGTTGTCTATCCTAATGAAATAAAATAAGATTGAACTTGATATTGAAAATTGTTGCTGAATTTTTTCATGTCGTGCTTACATGGAAGGTTCCCAAGTGCAATTTGGTTTCATGAGCACTAGTATAATAAACAATAAATAATCATCTTAGCATACCAACTGTGAGGATGTACTGTAAGTCAGTTTGTTGGAATTTGTCTCCATTCATTCCAGTCACCAGGGGTTTGTTGCCCCTGAGCTGGCACTGCAGGGTGTGAGTTATGTCAGCACCTGTGCCAGGCTTGAGGGCTCGTGTGTGTTTACCACTGTTGAGTTAATTAGCTAACCAGACTTCCTTTCTTTATCTATGATTATTCTAGTTACAAGATTATTTTTTCTAAATGTAAGTTCCTGAATATCTGCTCAGAAAGAGGAGGAAAGCTCCAGAAATTCAGAAATTCTGCCCTTAGTCTTTTTTCATCCTGTGACTTCATGTGTCTAATCATATACCCATGCCCATCTACATCAGTTTTATATGCACTTACTGAGGGATCCATATGCTCTGCTATCCTTTTTTCAATTGCTAAAAGGTAAGCTATCAGACTACTTGCAAGAAAAAATGTGGAAAGGATGTTATCAAGATAAATATTTACATCTGCTACTTGCAGAGGAAAATCAAGATTGTTCCATTTAATTGCTCTGGCAGTGTGATTTAACTAAAAAAGTTTTGGACCAACAAGTTTTTTTTAGATAATTTAAGTAAGTAAATAATATAGTGTTAAAGATAACTTTGATTTCCTGTGGCTTAGTTTTAAGTGGGAGTAACTGTATGTGTCAACTAAACAAAAGGAAGAGTGTTGCTCTGTCAATAAAACATTTATTTTTATGTACAGTGAGTGTGGATTCTCATCTGAGTAATGAATTAACTTGTCCTTTTCTAGTATGGTGTCTTGTTTCTGTGGAAAATGGACCATCGAGGCAGAGTCCAGGGTCCTGCCCTGGTTAAGCAGGAATATGGGAAATGCTTGTGTCATTGTGTCTTTCGGCCACCCCTTCCTGGCGAGTGAGTATTGACCCCATCAGAGCTCTGCTAGACCAGGTCTTTGTCTTGTTCCACAGAAAGTTAGTTCTGTCTACAAATGAACTACTTTTAAATACATTAAAAAATGTTCTTCTCCTAACTGCCCTATATTTCCAAGCTCTTCTCCTGTTCTGGTAGCTAGTTCTGTGCCCTGTGTGCAGCAGCTGATCTTCTTTCTCTTATCCGTATCTTCTGTCCATTGCTGTTGACTCTTCTGCCTTAGCTCTTTTAATTAGCAATATTGCTGATTGTGGAAAAATATAAACACATTGGAAACACAATTATCATTGTATTATTGTCAAAAATAATTAAATTAAAAGTCAGTTCTTAAACATTATTATTTCTTTCCTGTCCAAGCAAGAAATGGGAAGGAGCTGTAGTAAAGAAGAAGAGTTTTCCTTGTCTGGGCTTTTCTGTTTCACATTTCTGTAAAAATGTGTTTTGAAAAAAAAGTGAAACAGTGCAAATGAAAAATAATATTGAAATTTTGTTTTGTATCTTTTTGAGTTTGCCCTTTTTTCAATCAGCGTATGAAAGATCTTTATTCTTTTTATACAATATGCTTTATTAACTACTCATCCATTCTTTGAGACTGAAACTACTCTGTTATGAAAAGAATTAGGAATGAAGTATCTCTCTTTGCAGAGACTTTGTGCAGCTGGCAAAAGCAGCTGTGAGTGGTGATGAGAAAGCCTTGGATAAGTTTAACTGGGAGAAAGCTGGAATAGGACCACCTCTGAAAATGACAGTCCAAGAAGGTCTCTCCTTCTTTATCACTTTGACAGATGGTAAGAGCAAAGTCACTTTTCCATTTGGCTGGGAAATTGTTTCCTTCAAATACTTCAAAATACTTCACTGAGCTTCAAAATAACTCAGTGCATGATAGTCTTGTTTTCATATATCTGACAACTCAGGTATATTCATATATGCCTCATATTCATATATTTAATTGGGTATTCATAGGAGTTGTAGAATGTTTGGTAAGAAATTAATAAAATTACTGAAATCTTACAGTCTTCAGGGTGGTCTTGTTCTAACCTGGGTTAGTCAGGTTCCTGAAGAAGTGAATATGAGGAAAACAATCTCTAACACCCAAATGTAGATAAAAGTAGATTTTATCAGGGAAACAGCCTCAAGTTGTGCCAGGGGAGGGCACACTGGACATCAGGAGGAATTTCTTCACAGGAAGGGTTTTTAAACATTGGAATGGGCTGCCCAGGGCAATGGTGGAGTCATCATCCCAGGTAGTGTTCAGAAATGACTAAATGTGGTATGGTTCAGTGGGTGTGGTGGTACTTGATCAAAGGCTGGCCTTGATGATTTTGGAGGGTTTTTACAACCTTAATGATTCTGTGACTATGCTTTATAGAGTAGTACAACTTAATGACATTGCAATGACTTTTTAAATGTTGATAGGTGCATTAGTTGCTGTTGTCAGTGTTTTTAGAAAAACACTGTCCCATTTGCCAGTCAGATTATGGATTAAAGCTGTATTTGGTGTGTGGCGCAGTGTTTCTTAAACAAAGAAGAACTTCAGGTCCACGTTTTTCTGTTATCTAAACTCTGCTGTAAATTGAACCAATTCTTAACTGCCATTCTTCTTTCACAGATTTGTTTCTATGACGGGAGATTTTAGAAGCTATCATTCATACAAAAAGTTTACTTGCAGTTTAAAATTATTTAAAGTATTCCCCTTTGGATTTTCTAATCCAAATATATGCTTTAACAATATGCTTTAGTTTATTGCACTGGTCAGCTATGGTAGTCTCTATCCTGAGACAAACTAGAAAATGAAAGAATTTTTGTTATTTTTACCTTTTCAACACTTGAGGAATGTTTTCTTAAGGTAGAAAGCATCAACTTTGGCTTTTGTAGCTGAAAGCTGTCGACTAAAATCTGCACCTTCTTTATTTCTGCTACAGGTTCTGTGCACTATGTGAATGAGAAAGGGAAGTCAAGGCAGGTATTGTCCACGGACAGTCTGGTCCGAAAGCTCCTGTTGCTAGAGGAGAGAGATGTTTTACTTGTAATAACAGAGAATCTGCAGTTGTCCTTACACTCAGTTTCTCCTGAGGGAGAGGCAGAAGAGCTCCTGAAGGTAAGAGTCATACTACAGGCTAAAGTTGTAATATTTATTCTTTATAAGTATTTTTTTGTTTTTTTGATTATCACTATTTTGTTTTCAAATGAATCAACTCTCATGTTTGTTTCTCAGATAATATGTTGATGAAGAAGCAAAAATAGCTAATATGAAAGTGGAATAGAATAATGTGTTACTGAACTTGGAAAGATGCTTTTCATGTTGTTTTCCTGTTTTTTTCATATTTTTTTTCATTCTGACCCTATCTTAATTCTTTTACACTTACTTTCAGTTTCTTAGTGAATTAGAGAAAAATTGGAAATTTCAGTTGTCCTGGTTGCAGAGGTGGGCAGCACTTAGCACCATGTAGGTACAGCTGAGTTATTCTATACCACCTATATCATCACTGGTTTTGGCGAGAAAATGCACACACCTCAGAAGTGGGCAGCATTCTGCCTTGCTCTCTCTTACGGAAAGGTTGTCGGCATCAGCCCTGCAGACTCTGTCTTCTGCCCCTGCCATCCACCCTCTCCCATTTTCTTCGAGACACAGATATGGGACGTGGTGCTGAAAGGAAAGCGGTGGAACACAGAACTGATGTGTGCTGAATGGCAGCACCAGCGGGGAGACTGCAGGCAGGAGACAGGGAAGGCCCTCAGTCCAGCCAAAGGGAGCCCAGCCAAGTCCATTCCAGCTAAGCCAAGCCAAAAGGAGTGCAGCAGAATTGCAGGGAAGTGGCAGCAACCTGTAGGATCAACCGCCAGTATGGCAGAGTGGTAGAAGCGACAGTGCGAGCACTTGTGTGCAACTGAACCCAGAAGCTTTTGGGGGGAGGGGGTCTATTTGTCATTGTTTTTCATTGTATTGGCCTGGGGGGGCGAGAAGCCTCTTGCCATACTGCCTTTGTTTGTGACGGCGTGCAGAAGCCTTGGGAAGTCATGTGGATGCAACCTATGGGAAGCATCCACCATTTTGGTTTTGGTCCCAGCAGCCACATAAAACTAATTTTTTATGGCTAAAACACCTTCTGGTTTTGGATATGTATATTTTTTTTTATTCATATTGCTGTTATTACTTTGTGTTTCTTATTCCACTGCTTTTTGCTTTCAGTAATTATCTTAATCCATAGTCTCTGCATGTGTCCCTCCCTTACTGGAAGGGACAGGAGAAAACCCATGGCTTATTTGGCGTTTAATTTTTTTGCTGGTGTTAAACCACCACATTTAATTGGTGCCCAAGGTAAGGCTCAAGACAATTGAGATAACTTTGATCTAAGCATTTGTGTTTTAGGTAGAGAGCTCCTGGTTCCAGTGTTGCTTGTTCTATTCATGTGGGTGTAATATCTAACCCTGTATATACTTCTGCATATGCACTATGTATCCACCACAGTAATCTGTTTCAAAGCAAGGAGAAGGATCAAAACTGCTGTACTCTGTGATACCAGTTTATGGCATGATAAAATCAAAGGCAATGGGGGTCATTTCTGATGTGTATTCAGTGTTGCTCTCCTGTCCTGGCCTTGGCTCCTACCTCTGAAGATTCATTAATAGTCATACCCAGCCTGTGGGGGAAAGAAGAAAGGATGATTTTTCCCAGCCTTTTATCCTTTTCTTCTTCTTCAGGTCTGCTACAACAGCTTTTGAGAATTTGAATTCTCTTTGGGTGTTAGGGGAAGTGTGCCCTCATTGATATGTTTAATATATATGATAATGATATATCTCCTCTGTCCAGCAGATACCATGTTAAGATTTAGGACAGAGATTTCTAGGGAAGTTGTCCAGAGACATGCCCCATGATGGATAGTCATTAGTGGTGTGGCATGTGGGAGAAAATGGGCCAGCTTTTGAAAGAGTACTCTACTCCTGGTTCGGAAGTTTTCTTGAACAACTACAGGTTGTACAACTACTGATAAAGTGTTTAAAAGAAAATTGCTGTGGCAGTTCCAGAAAGGTGTGAAGTTATGGAACATGCTGGACCCTGGCTACTATTTACTGGACACTGCTTATTTCTGTACAGCACCCTCAGAAGGAGGACGAGGAAAGCAGAGCAACAGGCATCATGGGCATTCAAAATGCAGCTTACCCACAAGAACAACCTGTGCTAAGAGCACTTGCCTGTATGCAGAAGAAGAAATCCAAGACCAAATCAGTTCATGTAGTGAGTGATGAAGAGGAAGCAGGGCCCCCACAACAGGAGGAGGAGGCAGGGCCAGAGATAATCACCTGAACCTTTCCCTGAGTGAGCTGCAAGACATACAAAAAGATATCAGCCTCCAGTCAGGTGAGCCCCTGGTGACCTGGGTGCTCTGATGCTGGGCTGTCATGGCCCACAATATGAAATTAGATGGTAGTGACACTTTGCAACTGGGATCCATGTCCTGGGATGCAAGTATTGACCAGGGGATTAGGAAGAGACCAGAAACTCTGAGCCTCTGAATGCAACTTCTGTCAAATGTGAGGGAAAGGTTTCCTAGGAAAGATGACCTTTTAGTGCACTGAGACAAGTGGAACACCGTGGAGCAAGGTATCTGGTACCTGAGAGAATTAGCTATGGTGGAGATAATATTTTCAATTAACGAGCAATTCTCTACTAATCCAGACAACATCCAGTGTACACAAAACATAGGGCGGAAATTCCTACAGAGTGTGCTGGTGTCATATGCGAACTTACTCTGAGTGATGTCATGGAAGGAAGGAGAACAAAACATGGACTATTTGGTTACCAAACCTCAGATATATGAAGAAGCTATCTCCATCCTGTTAGAGGCCTGTATCTCCTCAGTGGAAAGACTGAGGATCTCTGGAAATTAAAGAGGAAATGCCTCACGCCCTGTCCTACAGTATTACAAAATGCTGCTTCTGGGTAGACCTCAAACCTTCACTTTCCTAAGATATTTTTATCTTGTTATCCATGACAGAAAAAGACTGAACGCTTGTGTATTACAGGAATGTCCACTTCTTTTTGATCATTACTTATGTCTGACTTTTGAAGTAAGATCTGGAATTTCACATTTTAAAGGAATCTTTATTAAACTCTAGGAGAAGAGCTAGTGCAAGAGTGAAATACTGCTCCTTATCTACTTAATTAAACCACTACAAGGTTTCTTTTATTAAATTTATACATGCAGTCTTCATGCATTTTATGGTGATCGTTGTCTGAATGGTCTGAATATGTCTGTCTGAATTGACAGATAGCTCTAGTTAATTTCTTATTTTTACTTTTTAGCCAAACTATGCAGTTCAGATGGTTAGTGTCCTTCAGCGTGCTCCTCCCACCTTCTGTAAATGCATATATTTGCTTATGGTTAACAGGTGAAGTTGAGTGGGAAGACTGGTCATTCTGCAGACATGATTTTAATAGACCATAGTCTGGTTGTTACAGCATTAGGTGAGACAGTCATCAGGTAAGAACGAAAGTTTTTCTGGGCTGCCCCTGAGAAGGGCCAGCTAAAAGTTACAGTCTGTAATAAACTGAATATTTTGCTGAAATGTTGGTTGGGGGGTTTTTACCAATAATGAAAAAATCCCAATATTTCCTAGTTTTGTTTGTCAAAATAAGTAAAGAAATTAAATGATTTTTTTTTTCCTCAAGGACAGAAACTAATTTGGTATGGTTTGCTTTCTCTCTAGGTATTTTATTTTGTCAGGCAGTGGTACCTATTCTGTTCCTTCCTTGAGTGCTGTTATTGATTTCTTCTGAAAATAAATCTGGTTGGGGGTTTTGCATGAAAATACAGCCCCTTGCTCTTCTTGCCAGTGTTACTGTCTGATCCTTAAGATACTCATAGCATCAGCAACCAGAAAAAAAGTGCTTACTTTTCAGGATGTTTTTTTTACTGTAATATAAGACAAGTATTTAAATTACTTCTGCCTCTAATCCTTTAAAGTCTGTTGCTTTGCCGTGCTGTTGAGTTACTGTGTTCTGTAGTTTTACCTTTTTTGCAATCTTTTCTTCGTTCTCTTTACTATGACCTGCTCTACCTGTTCCTCGAACCTTTTGGGAGGGTGGGAGTGTTCCATTAATATCTGTATTTCCCTTTATTGAGATGTCTGCTACTATCAGACAGAATCTTATGTTAATTTTGTGAGAATTCAATAAAGACCAAGTATCAAGAGGAAATAGTTTCATGGCAATATTTAGTTCTAGAAAATAAATCTGTAATCAAAAGGACTACTGGTTAACCCAGGAGTATTCTTAAAATAGAGGAGGAAGTGTAATTAGGGAGGAAGAAAATTGCAACTAGCCCTCACACTTTTATTTAAAAATAAAAAAGCTTTTTTTTAAAGCTTTTTTTTTAAAAAAAAATCCTGCTCTGTTCATAATTTTCAGGGGCAGAAGTCTGCTCCCAGCCACAGGCCCCTAGACTAGAATGGTGGCCCTTTTTCATGAGAAACAAAACTCACCCCTCCTCAGTTCCTGGTGTCAGTTTGTCAGAGATGTTTGGCACTCCAAGTATAGCCCGAGTTTTAGGTAGGGGTGGCTTGGGAGGCAGAAGCCCACTCCTGGGCACGGGCCCCTGGACACCCTGCCTCCAAAAGTTGGGAATGACTTCTTACTTCATAGGAGAATACCCCTAAACATGCTGCAGATTAAAAAGTCAAAGGAAAAGGAATTTAAAAAAAAAAAAAAAAAATTCAAAATAAATTCACACTCCATAGGCAGCTGCTGACAATTTAATTTTAAAAATTAAATTATCTAGGTATTGCGGAATACCTATATTGTGGAAATAGTAAATTAATGCCATGTACAGCATCCTATTGACTGTGTTTGGCAAGACACCTGGAAAGAAAAGCATTGTTAACACTCTTGTTTTGTGTGCCTTAGGTTCTGGGATTTGGATCGAGATGAGAACTATGTGCTCTCCCTAGACATGCAATTCGGCTTTGAGAGGGGAGAATGTATTAACTGTGTGTCTTACTGCAGTGCTAAAGGTGAGAAATAACATGGCAGCTATGATCTTTGGTCCTAAACCTTGTCAAACCTCAGCCTTCCATGCCCTGTGATAATTTCAGTATGTTTGTCTTGTGACTGAGAATCTCAGTGGTAGTATGTGATGTAGAAGATTTAGTTTGGATTGGAAATGTGCCTTGAAAGGTGCAGGGAAATAATTTGATACTCAGCTACACTTGGACTCACTGTGGAGCTGTCTCATGGCACATGAGCTGGATTCCCTTTGACACAAGTAGCCCTGGAGTCCACCTAATGCACTCCAACATGTTTTGGGCATTCAGTCTACAAGCCTGAACTACAGCTAATGCAAAATAGAGCTTAGTGGCATGTATCATGTATATGCCAGATCCTTACAACAGATCCTTTCTACAGAGCTGCTCCTCAGCACCACCTTGTTTGCTAGCGGAGGCACAGCTGATGTCTGCTGCAATGGTTTTCAGTGGTTAGTTGCCCAAAGTGACTACAAAACTAGCTATTTAAAAATAAATACAAGCTGTAGGAAGAACGGCTGAGGTCACTTGGCTTGTTCATCTGGGAGGAGACTGAGGGGAGCATCTATGGGGCAGCTTCCTCACGAGGGGCAGATCCGACTTCTGGTCTTTGTGAGCTGTGACGGGACCCAAGGGAACAGCCAGAGCTGTGTCCAGCCTGGGGAGGGTTAGACTGGGTATCAGGAAAAGTTTCTTCCCCCAGAGGGTGGTTGGACACTGAACAGGCTCCCCAGGGAAGCCTCAAGGCTGCCAGAGGTAAAGGAGCATTGGATAACACTCTCAGGCACATGTTGGGATTCCTGGGACTGTCCTGTGTAGGGCCAAGAGCTGGACTGGATGACCCTTGAGGTCTCTTCCAGCTCAGGATATTCAATAGTTCTATAGTCTAAGAAAAAGTTAAAATGAAGTAGTTGTCTGATGCATTTAAAAAAATAACTTCATCTGGTAGCTTAGAAGATGCACCTTGCCATGTGGAGCTTCTCCCATTGTTTCTCCAGAAAAGTTCTCCAGTATAGGACTAGGATGTTGGTTTGCAGTGAGGCGAGAAATTCTGCTACTGGAAAGTGGCTTCTCAGTACCCAAGAACCAGAGTTTGCTGCCTGTTATATTGTGTGATGTGGGTTTGTTTTTCTGAAGTCCAAGATGAGATGCCTGAAATGTTTGTGAATGGTAGCTATCTTGGCAGCTGGAACTAGCAATGGTAGAGTTGCGATGTGGAAGAAAGCAGCGGGATCTGATCAGATCACATGGGCTTTGGAGGGCAAGGAGAAGTGGAAGTTCCAGGCATCTACAGAACTTGAAGGAAATGTCACTCAGATAAAGGTAAGAAAGGAAGGAGCCTCCTTGAATGTTAGTGGGACTCCACAAACTTTAGATAAATAGACCATCTTTGTGAAACAGATGAACATGATCTCTATCATGTGGATATGTGTTCCAGGGGAGGCTGGTCCTCCTTCAGAAGTGGGAGGAAAATCCCTGAGAATGAAGTAACAAAATTGAAATGGGCAGAAATACTCCCTGCTTGTAGCTCACTAGCAAAACCTTTGTATTCAACTCCCTGAAATTATTTTCTGGAAAAAAAAATTATCAGGAAAGTAAATTTTACATAAATTTATTTAAAAAGCAAGAAAATCTGACTAAATGCATTATTTTATTAATCAGTTTTGGTTTTTTTTTCTATTTGTCACTTTCTCAATGTAAAGTTGCATTTCGGTGGTAGTTGTAAAAATAAAAATTTGTATTTACAGCAAAATAGTCTTTGATGAGATGTGCCATCTAGAAAGGGACACTATATATTTTAACATTGTCTGTTAACCATCAGGATGCAGCATTTTTATTTATTTGGAATATTTCATTTGTCACAATGAGGTGCAACACTGCCATTCTATGCCTTAGTAGCATTTTGATGTATGCAGGAGAGAAATCCTGAGTGTAACAGTCATAAATTTAAATTTTAAAAGTTTTATATTAATAAGCAGCGTTTTTTGCCACTAGCATTGTGCTAAAAGGCAAAACTTCTGCTTTAGGTTCTCCAGCATCTTTGGTTGTTGGGTTTTATACCATATCATTAATTTTTTTCAGTTTTTTATAGTGTTTCTGTTTATACTTAATATTGTTCTGTTGCAGTGCTTCTTCATATGTGAGAACAATCCCCATTATTTTTTATAAGGAAAAAAAATATATATGGTGACTTGCAAGAGAAAGTAATTTTATATTTGTTATTATTCTGTTTTCTCATAAGAGTGGAAAATATTGAAAAAGCAATGGCATTTGCTTGCTCTATGTTGGTATAGAGTGAGGGTCTCTAACACCATCCTGTGCTGTGAAAACAGAGAATCCAAGTGTTTTATTAACAAGCTTCAGTAACAAAAGGTCCAGGGTGTAGGAAAAATGTGTGCCATAAGTATCTTATACATCTGCTAATAAATTGATCGTGTCAGCTTTCCCATTCAAGCCTTTTCCAGAAAACAGGATAGGGAGCATTGTCCAGAAATAGCGCATCCCCTGCATCCCCTCTGCCTCGCCAACAGCGCCCCCTGCCGCTTATGGCCGTAACTACACCAAAGGGGAAATTGTCGTTGTGGGTTTTTTTGTTGTTTTTTGTTTGTTCTGTTTTATATATATATTTCCTAGTAAAGGACTGTAATTCCTTTTCCCATCTTTTTTCCCGGAAGCACTGTATTTTTGAAGTTACAATAATTTGGAGGGAGAGGCCATCTTTCCATTCCAGGAAGATTCCTGCCTTCCTTGGCACACACATGTCTTTTAAACCAGTATATTAACTGGTGACTAAGGTGGGCCCCAAGGGCATTGAGAGGAAAGGGTAAAAAGAGAATAATAATTCTTGAGTAACCCATTTGTGTACTGGATATAGAAACCGTATTAGGCAGCACCATATGGTCTAGCCTACCCTGGTTTGGTTGGCATATGATCATGGCTGTTTTTCCTGTTTGCAGGTCATTATTTAAACATGGGTCCTATAACTAAGGCCATTGTGGCTATTACCCAGTTTGTAGAATGGGTCAATAAGGTTAGGAATTCAGTGCTTGTAATCTTCTTCTGGAATGTGGGCACAAGGCTATATAACTATCACAGATGGAAGTCTGTATCTTTACACATAGGGTTTCCTTAATAATGCTACCTATAGTGAGGAAGCAACACAGGGAGGAATTTTCTCCCAGCCCTTCACCCACTTCTTTGGGTCTACAACAACAGCTTCTGAAGAGTTAAAATTTCCCCTAGAAGTTAAAGATATCATATACTTTTCTATGTTTGTATTCAGTGAGGTACATCCACCATTCAGAGACAGGGTGAGGTTACCTTGTGTAGCTGCCCCAAAACCTGCCACAGAGGTCAGGGACACTGACCACCAGTGCAGAACCACCTGCAGTCAGAGGAAAAGGTGGATGGTGCAGTAGTGGAACAAACAGATGTTACAAATGTCCAGGTTCCAGGGAGCCACAGCAGTCACCCCTTTGCAGAAGAGGAACAGTAAAACCAATCTGGTGTGCCCAGCTAATGATGATGGGGAACCAGGGCCCCCACAACCAGCAGAAGAGCCAGAGCCGGAGATCATCACTGAGTCCCTGCTGTCAGACAGTCTCCGCAATCTGCAGAAAGGCATTACATGATGGAGGGGGTGAGGCTTTTTGGCTTGGTTGATACAAGCTTGGAACCTTATGGGTACAGGCATGCAATTTGATGGCAAGGCTGTTGGATTCCTTGGCCCGGGATGTGGCCATTGAGCAGGTGTTTGTGAGGGAGCCAGGACCCCTTTCTGTCGCTCTATTTGGAACGGCAAGAAGAACGACACAAGACTCTCTCAGGAGTCGAACTGGAGAATTTCTCCCTGTTTATTGCCTCAGATCTTTTTTATAGACCGATATGTGAAAGTACAGAAAAGTAAAACTCTTATTGGTTAGGGAACTAACACCATCATTGGTCAGTGGGGTACACCAGCCTTCGACCTTCTCTTGAAAACAAGGAACAGACAAACAGCACCTGCAAGGCTGTTTTCTATCTCTGAGGATTGTTTTAATTCCTCCTTATGATTTCCCAGGCCACTTTCTCAGGCAAGACTGAGAAAGTTACGTGGCCTGCTATTCCACAGGCACTCTGCTGCCTGCTTCATAGTTAGTATCCATACCTTTCTTTTCAGGAGTGGCTTCTAACAAATGTAAGAGAGGTTTGTTTACAGGAACAGACTGCTGGAGCAACATCATAAAAAGCCATGGAAGACCATGGAGGAAGGATCCAACACCTGAGAGAAATGGCAGTGTTCGAGATGCTTTTTGGAAGGAATGGACAACACGATAATGACCTTAATAAGGTCAGGTGCACAGTGCAAATGTGATGGAGTCTTGTATATCAGGGACCATCTGAATACTTCAGTTTAATGGCAAACATGCATCTCAAGGGCAATCAGGAGACAATGGACTCTGTGGCAAGCAAACTTAGGAATTACAAGAGCAGGGTCCAAGACCCGATGCAGACCCACATCTCTACTGTAGACACACTGGTGGAGAGTCTCGAGGATGATAATAAAAAACTCAGGGAGAGATGTTTACCTGTGGCACTAGTGCAAATCAGAAGTCAGAGCCAGATGGCCCCCAGAGAGAGAGAGCGGGTATGCCCCACAAACTGACTTGTTATATTTCCTACTCAACCATGGAGAAGACATGAGACAGTGGAACAGGAAACCTAACAGTGTCCTGGCAGCCTGAATACAAGAACTGAAGGAGAAAGGAAAAGGGAAGTCGGTGAGAGTGAATGCAGTACCAGTTTCCCATAGGCAAGGATCTGACCCACTGGAAGGTACCTCCCATATGGATTCACAAGAACCAGTATTAGAGGGGTCAGGCAGGGACCCTGGGGGACAATCATGTCTACTGGACCATGTGGATCCAATGGCCTGGCATTGGCATCAAACCCACAAGAATACAAGGCTTTAGTTGACACTGATGCTCAATGTGTGTTAATGCCACCAGGATGTGTGTGGTGTTGGGGGTTAGGCGTCCTTTTAGTTCTGGCTCACATGTGGAATTTTTACCCATTAGTTGTGAGGGGAGGAAGGGGGGCAGGAAAAAGGGAAGGCGGGGACAGTTTTGCTGGCTTCTTCAGCTTCAGAAAAGCACACTTTGCTGGGAGCTGTTGCTGCAGGGAGAAGGGAATTCGCCATCACCCAGACAGAGCTGCTGCTTCTTCTTCTCCTTCTCCCCTCTTCATTGGTGGCCTCGCACCCCGTGTCCTGCCAGGACATGGCAGTGCCAGGCACCGCTGCGGAGCTGCTGATCCACCTCAGCCACAGCCCAGGGTCTTTGCTCAGTCCTGCCATTCCAGCTGGGTGTTCTGCTGAGTCCTGGAGGAGCACTGGGACTGGCTGCCCAAGGGGGTTTGTGAAGCAAAGCCTCTCCTCCATCCTTTCCCATCTTGGCCAAGAAGGCTGTCACTGGGTCCCCGGTTCTACAGTTAACACTGTAGTTATTGTTGTTTGTTTGCCTCGTTATACATACTAGTAAAGAACTGTTATTCCTATCCCCAGATCTCTGCCTGAGAGCCCCTTGATTTCAAAATTATAATAATTTGGAGGGAGGGGGTCTACATTTTCATTCCAAGGGAGGCTCCTGCCCTCCCTACCAGACACCTGTCTTCCAAAACCAAGACGGTGGGGTCAGAAACAGTCTTCATTTCTGGGGTGACAGGGAGTTCTTGAGAGCTGAGGGTGTTGGAAGCTGAAGTGAGCTTGACTGGGAAGGACTGGCAGAAGCACCCCATTGTAACAGGTTCAGATGCCCCATATATTCTGGGCATTGGCTACCTTAAGAACAGATACTTCAAATACCCAAGAGGACATTGATGGGCTTTTGGAATTGCTGCTGTGGAGACAGAAAGAATTAGGCAGCTAAATACCTTGCCTGGACTCTCCGAAAATCCTTCTGTGGTTAGGACTTTTGAAGGTAGAAGAATAGCAAGTACTGATTGCCACCTCAATAGTGCATTGCTGACAGTACCAAACATATCAAGATGCCATGATCCCCATTCACAAGATGACCCATGAGCTGCAGAGCCAAGGAGTGTTCAGCAGCTTGCCCTTTGGCCCCATTTGGCCTCTGTGCAAGTCTTATGGGGAATGGAGATTGACAGTGGACTATCGTGGCTTGAGTGAAGTTACACCATCACTGAGCGCTGCTGTGCTGGACATGCTGGAGCTCCAGTACAAGCTGGAGTTCATGGTAGTGAAGTGGTGCCACTATTGACATTGCTAATGCATTTTTCTTGATTCCTCTGGCAGCAAAATGCAGGCCTCAGTTTGCCTTCACGTGGAGGGGTGTGCAATACACCTGGTACCAACTGCCCCAGGGCTGGAAGCACAGCCCCACCATCTGCCATGGACTGATCTGGACTGCACTGGAAAAGGATGAGACTTCTGAACATCTGCAATACATTGATGACATCATCACTTGGGGGAACAACGCAGCAGAAGTCTTTGAGAAAGGAGAAAAGATCATCCAGATTCTCCTGAAAGCTGGTTTAGTCATCCAAAAGAGTTAAGATCAAGGGACCTGCTTGAGAGATCCAGTTCCTGGGAGTGAAGTGGTAAGATGGATGGTGCCAGATACCCACCAAGGTCATCAACAGGATCACAGCAATATCTCCACTCACCAGCAAGAAGGAAACACAAGCTTTCCTAGGTGCCATAGGTTTCTGCAGAATGCACATCCCAGGGTACAGTCAGTTTGTGAGCCCTCTTTACCTGGTAACTCTCAAGAAGAACAATTTCTGCTCGGAAACAGTGCAGCAGCAAGCCTTTGCCCAGATCAAGCAGGGGACTGCTCATGTGGTAGCCCTTAGCTCAGTCAGGACAGAACCAGAGGCGAAGAATGTGCTCTACTTTGCAGCTGAGAGCCATGGTCTTTCCTGGAGCCTCTGGCAGGTGCCTGATGAGACTCTGCACCAGCCACTGGGATTCTGGAGGTGAAGTTACAGAGGGTCCAAAGCCAACTACACCCCAAGAGAGGAGATCCTGGCAGTGTATGAAGGAGTTCAGGCTGCCTCAGTGGTGGTTGGCACAGAGGCACAACTTCTGGCACCCTGACTGCCACTGCTGAGGTGGATGTTTAAAGGAAAGGTTCCCTCTACCCATCAGGCCACCAATGCTACATGGAGTAAGTGGATTGCCTTGATTACACAGCGCACCTGTATTGGAAACCCAAATCATACTGGGATCTTGTAAATAATTATGAATTGGCCTGAAGATGAGGACTTTGTTCTGACAGATGAAGAGAAGAAACAGGTGATGTGAGCTGAGGAAACTCCACCATACAATCAACTGCCAACTAAGAAATATCTTTTCACTAATGATTCCTGTCACGTAGCAATGAATTGAAAATGGAAAGCAGATAAATGGAGCCCCATGTGACAAGTTACAGAAGCTACCAAAGGAGAGGGTAGTTCAAGCCAGTTTGCACAACTCAAAGCCATCCAGTTGGCCCTGGACATTGCTGAATGAGAGAAATCTACACTGACTCTTAGGTGGTGGCAAATGGGCCATGAGGGTGGGTGTAAAGCTGGAAAAAGGCCATCTGGCAGTGTAGAGGAAGACCAGTCTGGACTGCTGATGAATGGCAAGACATTGCCACTTGAGTAGAGAAGCTACCTGTGAAAGTTTGTCATGTGAGTGCCCATGTCCCCAAGAGCTGGACTAATGAGGAACACTGAAAGCAAACAGGTGGATCAGGCTGCAAAAATCAAGGTGTCATAGACAGATTTGGACTCACAAGACAAGGAAGAATTGTTCCTAGCTTGATTGGGCCCGTGATGCCTCAGGTCATCAGGGCAGAGGTGCCACCTATAAGGGGGTATGAGACTGAGAGGTGGATCTAACTGTGGGCAGCATCTCCCAGGTTATCCATGATTGTGAAACTGATGTGCTGCAATCAACCGGGCCAAGTGGGTGAAGCCCCTATGGTATGGTGGGCAGTGGTCCAATATAAGTATGGGGGGGCCTGGAAAATTGACTACATCACACTGCCTCAAACCTGCCAAGGCAAGTGCTATGTGCTTGCAATGGTAGAAGCCACCACTCCAACCACTGGATGGTTGGAAGCCTACCCTGTGCCTCACACCACTGCCCAGAACACCATCCTGGGCCTTGACAAGCAGGTCCTGTGGTAGAATAGTACCCTTGAGAGATTTGAGTGTGACAACAGGACTCATTTCAAGAACAGCCTTGTAAACACTTGGGCTAGAGAACATGGTATTTAGTGGGCATACCACATTCCTTACCACGCACTAGCTGCTAGGGAAGTTTAGCAGTGCAATGGACTATTAAAAACAACATTGAAGGCTGTGGGAGGTAGGACCTTCAAGAAGCGGGATCTACATTTATCAAAGGCTACAGGGTTAGTTAACCCTGTTCCACTGTTCCCAGAGGTTCCACTAAGCTAGCTGGCCCTGCCCAGTCTGATCCCCTGTGTACCACAGATGGCGATAAGCTTCTGGTGGTGATATGAGAGGTATGTTAGGAAAGACTGTTTGGATGAATTGTGCCTTGAGCAAAGACAAACCCATTTGTTGAGTTGTCTTTGCTCAGGGACATGGTTGCACTCAGTGGGTGATGCAGAAAGGTGGAGAAACATAATGTATATCTCAACAGGACCTTATTTTGGGGTGAACTGTCTATGACATTGTGCCTGTACCCATATCTGCATGTATATACGTTTATAATTAGGATAATTGATGTATGTCTATAGTTAAAATGTGTAAGTTCAATGTAACATGTTGGTATGCAAAAAAAAGTTGGGTGGATAATGGTGGGGGTTAGGTTTTCTCAAAAGAATTGCTTCCCATTTGTTATCTTCCTGAGGCCACCATTAGCCCCTGGGGAGGCTTAGGGCTCACATCTGAGCATCCCCTGGAGCCACGGGGGAGCCACTGCAGCCCCTCTGCCTTGCCCAGTGCCTGCCTCCCCCTCAAGTGGTTGTGGCCATAACTACACCAAAAGGGAAATTGGTTGGGTGGGAAAACTTACGGTTTTTACTTTGTTGTTGTTTTTTGTTTGTTCTGTTATATATATATTTATATACATATGTATAATATGTGTAATCTTATATATGTATTACATATACTTTTGATATTTTTGTTTTAATTTTTTTTTTCTAATAAAGAACTGTTATTTCTTTTCCCATATTTTATCCTGGAAGCCCTGTATTTTTGAAGTTATAATAATTTGGAGGGAGGGGGCCATCTTTCCAGTCCAGGAAGTTTCCTGCCTTCCTTGGCAGACACATGTCTTTTAAACCAGGAAACTGGGTAATGAGCGTAATAGTTTGAATCTGTATTATTTCCCAGTCATTCCCCATAGTTAGTATTTAGATAGTTTGACTTCGCATATGTATAAAGATATTTATTCTGTCTTTCTCCACATTATTTCTCTTGGGAAATTGCTGTGACAGTTCAAGACCAGAGATGAAATTGTGTGGTTTTTCTTTTTCCATTATTACAGTGGGGATCCCGAAAAAACCTGCTGGCAGTGAACAACATCAGCTCTGTGGTGATCCTCAGTGAGCAGGCCATGTTGGCACATTTTCATCAGCAGGTGGCCGTGGTACAGGTGTCTCCCAACCTCTTCAATGTGACAATCTTCAGCGCAGGAATCACTCACAGCCTTCGTGTTGATATGAATGCTAATGGAGTCTTTGCTACTAAGGTTGATCAGTTGCTTTTTTATTTTTCATTTATTTGTCTAATCAGTTGCCTAGTTAGGTTTATAGAGACCAAACTTCCTAAGTCTTTAAGATAGGCCTTTTTTTTTAATACTCAACACAGTGTGTTATGAAGGTATTGTTGTGACAGTAGCAATGGTGCTGTGGTGGAGCTCATTTCTTTTAAGATCGAACAGGGACTCAGGAATTCTCTAGGGTGCTCACCAGAACCCAGAGAACCTCTGGGCTACTAAAAGCCTTCAAAACCCAATGTCCAGAAGATCCAGTAACTGGTAGCTATTGTAGGGAGGTCTTGCTGTATTATTGCATGAATTCCTGCATGTTTCCAAAAGGAACTACATATGTATATTTATTTGGTGTTTTGTTTGTTTGTTTTAGGATGCTGTAGTATTCTGGAATGGGAAGCAAGTGGCTGTCTTTGAGTGCTCAGGAGATGCCTTTAGAAGTGCAGGTAAGACTTAAAACGTTGGTCAGAGTCGGAATGCTTCTTTTCTTCCAAAGTTATATGTTCATTCATGGTAGCTGATGCACTATAATCATAGAATCTCGTAACAGTTTGGGTTGGAAGGGACTTTAAAGTGCACCTTGTTTCAACCCTCCTGCCATGGACAGGGACACCTTCTAGACTGGAAAAACCCCTCAGAGCCTGAGAGAGCTTTTATCTGATGTACCTAAATTGCATTATACAGGGCCTTGCACAAAACATTGTGTGAGGCTAGAACTACTTCTTTCTGTATATTTTTAAGTACACCATTGATGTTGATCAAGAAGAGCAATCTTTTCCTGTGGCTCCTTTTGCTTTTACAGATAAGACATGGCAATGGCTATTGAACACTTTTCCTTCACTTTAGAAAAAGTGTAATCAAGGTTACATAGCACTCACATAGGAACTGGGAAGGAGGCTTTTTGTCCCAGCTCTCAGGAGAAATTGTCCCATAAATTGCTATATATAGTGCCAAGTGGAGTAGATTAGCTTTTTAAATTATTAATTCTCCCAAAGTATTTCTGCATTCAGAAATAAGTGATGTAGAATTCTATCAATTCCATCCTAGATCTTGGGATTTATCTTTTTAGAATCATTAAGGTTTTTTTGCTTGTCTATATTTACTGATATATTTTAAAACTTTTCCATGCTGAATCATTGCTTTATTATGACCACGGTCCTACCCGTCTACACCACTCCTGAAGTTATTGCAGAGCCACTGTTCTGACAGATTCTGTTATCCCTCTTCAGTAGCAGTTCACTGAAGGAAAAAGTGAATTTTCTTACCAGTACCTCACACTGCACTTTTTTTTTCTTTCTTTCACTCCCCATATCAACTCTTTGCCTTTCCTCTCACTTGCATACATGGACAGAGTGTACCAACACCTGTTTACAATGGGAGCTCCAGCTTTTAAATGTAGCGGCAGTATGGAAGAAGGCTAAAACACCAAGGAATTTGGATTCAATAGTGACAGACAGATTGAAAAAGGGATTTGGTGCAAGATAGTGGAAATTGTGTGCTATAAGTTACTTTTTTTTCTTCTTACAGAACATATTTATTATAATGATGGCTTTGTTGTGATTGTTCCAGGCTCTTTTCTTTGTGACTCTCCAGTTCTGTCTGTTCATGGAGAAAATCTGTACACAGTGGAACCGTATCGGATCCAGGTCCGCACCTGGCAGGTGAGGACTGAGTAAACCATGAAGGGACAAATAGGCCTTGTTGTTTTCAAAGACTGGTGTTAGAGCTTAAAAGTAAAGTGCATGATCTTTCTAAATCTACTAACTCTACCTTGTCATAATGCAGTACTCACAATAAAAATGATTTTGAGTATTTCAACAGAAAGATCTTTGACATTTTGTGTTCTTTAAAAAGTCTGTGACTCTGAACACTACTGCAATGTAACTAATAGATATTTACAGACTTGAAGACGATCTAAAGTGGATGCAAGTTGAAATACATATATTACTTTCAGGAAGATGATCATACTAAATATTCTTACAAGATAATGAAAAATACCACTTGCACATTTTGTGTGAACCTTTGCAGCCTCTGCTAGTCTGTGAGAACCAAAAAGAGAAATCTAATTATTAGAGTTCTATGACACATCATTTTATTTAGGAAGTAAATATTATATTTTAGAATGGGTGTGATTCATCACATAAATATAATGTATTTGTTTTTACAGATATATATTTAAGGACCTTCAGGGACCTGATATTCCTGTATGTCTTTCACTTGGTAAAGTTTGTGTTACTAAAGAGGAAATTATTGCAGAAGAACACCTTTAAATTTAGACTTATTTGAGGTTATGAACACACCTGAAACACAGATTACATTTTGTGTGTATGTTTCTCCAATTTGCTTGGAGTGATTAATCTAACACAGAAGTTCAGCAATTTGTGACTCAAGTTGGTGACAAAATAGTCCCTTCTAGTGAGGCTTTGGCCACACAAACCTGGTGTTACACATTTCTTCCCAGGGCACAGTTAAACAGTTGCTGGTGTTCTCCGAAGCAGAGGGGAATCCTTGCCTCCTGGATATCTGTGGGAATTTCCTGGCTGTGGGAACTGATCTGACTCAGTTGAAAATCTTTGATCTCTCACGCAGGTATTAATAAGGCTTTAAAAATAATCTGTTTACAGTTAAGCATGTATTTTGTGAGGAATCTTTATCTGTATTTTATTTGATGAAAAGCAGTATTCCCTTTGAATCTTCAGACAATATCAATCAGCTATGTGAGCTGATGGCTTATTTCTAAAGCAAGGGAGGAACTGGGGAGTAATTAGGCAAGTCATTGATGATGATGATGATGATTATTATTTTAAAAAGAGGATACCATGAGGGATATTTGACTGCATTTAAAAGTGTGTGGAGAATTTATGGAATATTAAGCTAAGGATGTCCCATGTTTCTTCTGATAACTTGAACAAAACTTAATCTCAAAGGAGCTGAAATGAAATCAGGTCTTGTATCTTCTCGTAAATCAGCAAACTTGTTTCAATGAATATATGGAGAAAGTGAACCTAGAACTGTGGAGACTCTGTTCTTCCTCCTGTTTAGGTTAAGAAGTTTACCTGACTTGGTTCAAACATTGCTGTACTCTCATACTGACAAACATAAAAAAGACAACAACATGACATTCATTTTGAAAATTTAGCTGCTGATGACAAATGTAATTTTGAAAAGCTGAAAAACCTGAAGAGTGAAACAGATTCTGTTCTTCTGTGCATGCTGTCACCACAGGAATGCTAAAGTCTAGTTAGTTGCCCTCTGGAAACTATTTGGTTTGGGATCACACACATTCCACCTGGGACAGTTTGAAGGTTGTTAGATTTGGGCAGGTTGTAACTAGCATAAATATTGGATTATGATGTCTGATAGTGAGAAAAAAGAGTTTCACTCATAAGTGTTATGATAAATTTTTGTGTTTGGTACTGAAAATACCCCTTCTCAAATTATGACACTTTAATTTCCGGGCACCATAGTTGGCTTAGAACAAATGTTATTTTCATAGAATCAAATATTATTTTTTTATGAGATTGTATTATAGCTCTAAATTGCTGTCACTTCAAATTACTGTCACTTCTTTTTACTGCATTTTTTTGTTTCATGAGATTTGTCCTCTGTTGCTAACTGATTACTGGGTTTGTATCTATACAGCAATAAGATTTTTTTGAGATAATAAAATACGTAAATGTGCCCTGCTAATGACATTTCTTTGCTCCTGCTCCACAGTGTGCTTTCCATACACAGAAATTTTATGTGGTGCGCTCCGTTCAACATTCATGGTCCTGTTAACTTCTGTAGGAAAAGCAGACATCTGAATTCAGAATTCTGGTCAGATGTTCTTGCTGTATTTTCTTTCCTTCCTTTGCTCTCAGAACCAGTTTTAAAGGTGCAGAACTTAATATCCAGCATAAACAGAACAGACGATTGGTGATACAAGCATCATAAAGTCACCCTAGGACACCATGTTTTGGGAATCCTGTAGAAGCACTTGCTGATTCATTGAGGAAAGAATGTCTGTTAACTGATTCCTGAAAGAAAGGAAGTGGCAGCAATCCTCTGGAGAGGGAGTCTGGGGCAGTGGTGTCATACAGTCAAAATAGTTTTCTTTTAAAAGTCTTACCCATAATTTGCTAAATGTTTTGGCTGATGCATATTGCCAGTTGCTTGCCACCATATAATTGAAGTTTATTCCTTCCCACAGGGAGGCAAAAGTGCACTGCAACAGCAAGAGTTTATCCAAGCTGCTCCCTGGCTGCAGAGATATTGTGTCTGTGAAGTGCAATGCTAATGGCAGCAAAGTCAGCATCCTTGTCAGCAGGGTGAGGCACAGCTCTTCACTCACTGTCTGGGACTTGTCCATTGGTTCATAGACGGGTGTGGGTCAAGATTACTGAGGACGCAAGAATCACTTCTCAGAAATAAACCTACCTGGTCCAGGTAGTGTATTGAATCATGTAATGAAGTGTTATGTCCCAGCATTAATTAAGGTCTCTTAAGGCTTTGTTCTGTGTTGGGAACAATCCAGAAAAAGAATATTTCAGTTACAAAAGCTGCTTTATAGCATTTCAAAGAAATCCAAGGCTGACTTGTTGGAATAGAAAACCAGCTAGGAATTTTCTGGTATTTCTTAGTAAGAAAGAACTTATGTGATTACCAGCAAAGAAAGCTGAGAGCATGAAGCAGATGGGATAAACATACCTATTTTTCTTTTTGACTGCATGCTCCAGCAACCTTTGTTTTCCTTTCCTGTAGGCAGATGGGAACATCGATTCCAAGATCTGTTTCTATGATGTTGAAATGGACCAAGTTACGCTCTTTGATTTCAAGGCTGAACAGGGACATGGTAGAGAGAACCTTTCTGCTGGACAAGGCATTGGCAAGTAAGGAACTTCTATTTCAAGAAGCATTAATGGTGGATTTAGGATGGAAATTTGCCCTGTGGAGAAAAGCACACCTTAATGCTGACATTCATCTGTCTTGGGAAGGAGCTTGTATGAATTTAATTATTTATTTCTGAAGAACTAATTAACACTGGTAAATTGTGTGCCCATCAGGCTGCATCCCTGTCTATTCCAATAATGTGAGCTAGGTAGTGTCAAGTGAAGGTCCCAGTGTTGTGGTTTGACATTGGCCAAACACTAGGCACCCACAAGAGTCGTTTGCTTACCTTCTCTTTACAGTTGGGCAGAGAGGAGGGAAGAACAAAAAAAAGGAAATAACAAAGGGTTCATGAGTTGAGATAAGGACTGTGAGAAAATCACTCTAAGGGCAAAATGGGTTTAAATTTAAAGTTGTAAAATATATTTATTATTAACAGAGTCAGAGGAGGATAATAAGTATAAAACAAGCCCTTAAAACACCTCTTTTCCTGCCAGCCCATCCCTCCTTCCCACCAACAGTGCAGGGAGATAGGACCATGGGAGTTTTGGTCAGTTTGTCACTCAAGATGATCTTCTGTTCACTCAGGGGGAGGATTCTTACCTCTGCTATGCCATGGATTCCCTCCCACAGGCAGTCTTCTCAAAACTGTTGTGGCATGGGGTCACTCGTCATGGGGTGCAGTCCTTGAAGGATAGGCTGCTTTAGTTTGGAAGCAAGGGCTCTTTCACTCTCTCTATTCAGGTCTTCTAGACCACAGCTTTCTCTGGCATCCACCCACTCCAGCAGGAGCACTTTTCTAATGGGATTCGAGTGGATTTCTGCATCCCCTGTGGACTTCATGAATTACAAGGGGAAAGTTTGTTTCACCATAGTCCTCGCCATGGCCTGCAGAGGAATCTCAGTTCCAGCACATGGAGAGCCTCCTCCCCCTCTTTCTTTTCTACTGACCTTGGCGTCGCCATGTTCTCCCTCATGTGTCCTCACTTCCTTCTCTTCTCTGACTAGAAAAAAACTCCTGCTTGTAGGTACCATTGCCAACAAGTTGCAATAATTCAAAGATTCTTGCAGGATCATACAGCACTAAGAAGTTGATCCTGTCTAGGTTGCAATCGGGGAATTGCTCATCATGCTTTCACTGCTGGCCAGGCAGCCCTGCTGTCATCACGTAGGCAGTGGTGGCTGCTGCGATGCAGGTGCTGTTTAATGCTTCTCTTCATGTGGGACACTGGGAAGGAGAAGCCACTGCTGCCCCTGCCCTTCTACCCCCAGAGCCAGGTGGCCAGGCAGGCAAGGCTCGCCATGGGCTCTGCCAGCATGGCAGTCACTGTGGCACCTCCCCACCCCTGAGGGAAAACTGCCTGTGTGGTGTTTTGATTTTCTTCTTAAATGTGTTATCACAGAGGTATTACCAACCTCTCTAATTGGGCCAAAGTGGAAGCTTCTAGCAGCTTCTCACAGAAGCCACCCCTCTGACCCCTTCATTCCTCTCACCCCCTCCTTGCCCCGCAGCCAAACACAAGGCTATGCCAAATCAACACACCCAGAAAGCAAGCTCAAAATAAACAGGAGGTAAGGAGGTAGTTCTTCAGCCAACATGCAGCTGAGCCAAGGAACTCCTTGGAAAGGAAGTAGAGAAGATGAAGGAAGGGCTTATGGAGATATTGGACAAATTCATAGAAGAGGAATTCAGGGAGAGTTACTAGCACTTTGGAAGCCACAGCTAACTAAAGAGATCTCTGAGGAGAGGATGGCTTGGTGTAAGGGGTTTTATACAGAGGTATTACACCACTAGAATCAGGATTCAGATCTTTAAATAAAGAAAAATCTTGGAAAGCTACCCTTCCTTGAAGAGTTTATATAATAGGAACTGAGAAGAGGGCATTGTGGAGGTCCTTGTAGGAATAAAGGTATTTTTAAAATATAATAAAAGTTTGGTTTGTGTGGGTAAAAAACTTATGAGGTGTCTATTTAGACCTGATGCCTTTCTGTTCATGCAAACTGTGCTGTAGGAAGTGCATTAGAAATCCTAGCAGCACAAAGTAGTGAAGTAGAAATGCTTGTGAAAATATGGTATAATATTAGAGTACAAATTCCCATTTGATTCTACAATAATTTTTCTGACTGTATTTTTCTTAAGAAAAGCTGGCATTGGAACAGGTGGATTGCTTTTTAGCAACTATCTGCTATGGGTATTACAAGCAAAAATAGGAATATACTCTCCTTACCACTTGTAGTAGTTTAAATTCACTAATTTTCATTTCCCAGCCAATGCACCAAATAATGTGGTGGTTCTAGCTCTAGCTAGAATCACCAGGGTACTTACTTATTTCTTGCTGTGAGATATGGATTAGGAGAAGGCAAAACAGGCTCAAAACTTAAAAGAAACAAAGAAAGTTTATTAATAGAACTACAAGAATAAGAAACCAGAATAAAACTTTCAGAAACCTTTTCTACCCCCCCACCCAACCTTTTCCTTTCCCAACTGACAACATAGAGACAAAACCTGAGATGTTAAAGCAATACCAACTATACAATAGTCTTTTCATAAGTCTCTATGGGAGAGGAGTTTTCTCTTGTCATTCCATGGAAAGTTCTCCACAAGAAAAGGTTTTCCTGTGGCTTTTTATTTCCATGTCTGGCAGCCGCCTGGAAAAAACTCTGCCATTATACTTTCCTCCCATTTTCACATCACTCTAAGGTGTGTTCATGGGCCATGAATTCAAAGGGTAATATTTTAAGGATGAGTTATTCAAAGGCAAAGGTTCTCTTTATCTGTTTCTATTATCATCTCTGGGAACAGAGGTTTTCTCCTTTTCTCCCTTGGGGCAAAGGGTCTTCATCAGCCCTCACCTCTCTCTCTGTTCAAGCTCTCATGGGATCACAGCTACTCCACCATCTGCTTAGCTTCATCAGTGGATACTTTTGCTCAGATTTACAGTTTGAACAGTTCATTCCCCCCAATACTTTCATGAATTAAAGGAGTTTTTCATAACATTGTTGTCCATCTCCATGGCCCTACCAAAAGAATATTTCAGCTTATTAAAGCATCTCCTCATTCTTCTTCTATCTTAGGCTGACTCCTTCCTTTACTGATTTTGATGTTTCATGTTGTCTTTTTACATATTGATTGCTCCCACTTTCCTCTCTTTGGAGAGGGGATTAAGTCTGCAGGTCTCATCTGAGTAGTGAAAGGGTTAAACCTTGCACAGGTCTTGTGGATGGTGATGTGATCTCTGCCAGGGCAGCAGCCCAGGCTGTTTGTGATGGAGGATTTTTTTCAGTGGTTGTGCTGGAGGAGGGTGGCTAGGATCTCAGCAGCCAGGCTAGCACTCAGAGGCAGCACGCTGCGGGCTGATGGCTTCCCCTCTCTTTACTCGGCAGTTTCTGCTGAATCCCAGTGGCAGCAGAATTTCAGCTGAGTCAGGGACCGGCCTGGCCTGGCAGCACCGCTGTACAGGGCTTGGCGAGCTTCCCGAGGAGGCTCAGCCCCTCTGGAAAGGGGCTTCTGCCACCCCACGGTCTCCATCCCCCACCCGGGAGCTGCTGGAGTCCGGCCCATAAGGGCCGCGGGGGAGCAGACCAGCTGCACCAGAGTTCTGTTACCTTTCAAGGCCAGAAAGAAATAGAGACAGAAACTCCCAGGCTTAGGTTTAAAAGGTGGTATTCACAAAGGTGATCTCACTTTTCAGCGGTGAAAAATGTTGTTAATTCTCAGAAATGACCAGCTGTTGTCCAGGTCTCAAGCAGAGAAGAAACTCACAACAGCCTCTCTCAGAGGAGTTACTTCCATGGATATTTTCCACTTTTTTTCCTAAATGCCAACCTACCACATCACTGAAAGCCAGAAGAAACTACTCAGTTCATCAAAAACTAAGGCCAATGCAAATCTGGGGTCTTACATCCTGGTTAGTTATGCAGTAGTGCAGTCTAGAGTAAGTGAGGAAGTTGTTTCCAAGTGTGGTATCTTGTGTAGCCCAACAGAGGCAAACCCAAGCCAGGAGTGCTGTTTCACTGTTTGAGTGTTAGTGTCTGTGTGAATAATCCATTTATCTGTGCTTTCTTTTAAAGGATCTTCAAATTACAGTGAGTAAACTCAGCAGAAAGTGTTAATAATCCTCTTCTGCTTCTCTTTCCCTCCTCCTGAGACAAAATCTAAACACTCCCAGGTTTTTTACACAAATTCTGTTTTTCAGTTTGCAGTTTACTGATTGTGAATTCCATGGCAGGGAGAGGACTTAGGTTTCTGCACCTGTTTGAATGTCTCTTTCAATTTGCCCTCTAGCCCTACTCCAATCCTCCCCACAAATTCCACCCTTCAGTGGTGACAGCAAGTGAGAAAATATTTTAATGATGTCTTTGGTTTCTCTTTTAAATAATTTGACATTTTTTCAGAAGAATGAATACTAAGCCATTGCTAAAATAGTGTGATTCTGTATGTCTGTAGTCTTGATATGGCTGGCTCTGAAGTAATAATTGAAATGCCCAAAGGAGGCAGTAAGATTATTTATTTAAGTTATTATTTAAATCGCTGACAGAGACTGGCTTTCCCGAGGCTGCAGGAGAAGCCCTTGTGCTTAATGTGCTGTTTCACAGTGCCTCAGAATTCTTGACATACAGTAGGTGGTGGTTGGTCTCTTCTTCCAGGTAACAATCAATAGGATGAGAGGAAATGACCTCAAGTTGTGCCAGTAAAGGTTTAGGTTGGGTATTAGGAAAAATTTCTTCAGGTAGAATTGTCAGGCACTGGAACTGGCTGGCCACAGCAGTAGTGGAATCACCATCCTGGGAATGCTCATAAAATGTGTGGACGTGGCACTCTGGGTCATGGTTTAGTGGTGAATGAGGTGGTGGTGCTGGGTGCATGGTTGGACTTGGTGATTTTAGGGGGCTCTTCCAATTGTAATGATTCCATGGTTTGAAGACAGAGCTGAGGTAGCCCCTGTGTTACAGCAGCAGGCACTGAGGTAGATAGTTTGAAGGATGTTCAAGTGTTTATGTAGGACCTGCAATATCAGGGGAGGCAGATTTTGAGTACCTATTTTTATAGGCAATACCAATTTTTTTCCTACCAAAATGCTTTATGTCCTGTCACCACTGTCAGTGTAAAAGACCAAACTAGCAATGTCATTGCCATGTGTAAAATGTTAGGAGTCAGGAAAATGTATCTGGTTAATGTTCTAATACAGAGTATAAATAACTGACAATGATCCCTTGTCTGGAGATTTATTTACATTCATGCACAGAATGGTCTGGAATTACTTTGTTTCCCTTTCTGCACCTTTTCTTGTCTCTTCATAGGTTTGTAGTGGAGTATCCAGAGTTGCACAGTTACATCCCTGCTCGCCATTTTTGGGACCAGAGTGAACCAAGACTTTTTGTATGTGAAGCAATTCCTGAAACAGGCTTCCAACCTCCTGACCAAAAGGAAAACCAGACTGAGGGCACAGTATGGTCTTTTTCATTTGTTTTATCTTGTTTTACATAGAGTTCTCCCTGTCCAAGCAATAAATCCTTTGTGATTCATTAAGGATGTAGGAGTGGGTAGTACACATTACTACGTGCAAAAATGAGTTGTGAGCCCTGTGTTTGCTGTCTGTGTTTCAGGCAGTCCCTCTATGGCAGCTCTCTGGTTTGGGCAGAGCTTGCACATTCTGAAGAAGAAAAAGAGGGTATTTCTTTAGCTGTGATACAATTTTGGGAATGATCTTAATACAAGCTTGTATCTGGACTACAGTTATTCAGGTGACATTATTGGGTGGATTGATAATCTCGAAGTTTGTAACTTAAAAAATAGCTGATTTTATATCTTGAGTCCACTTTTAGCAGCAAGAATTAACTTGATAGAATAACAGGGATGTTACTGTTAAGGTGAACAGAGAAATACGCTCTTCCACCCAGTCCCCTCCAGTTTTCGGCTTTTCTGGAGAGGAATTGTACATTTTTATGGGACTTCCCAAATTATCTGTTATTGGTGTTCATAACACTCGCCCGCGGTAAGAGACTTCTCCTGGGTCAAGCTGTTCAGGTAGAAGCAATTTATTGTAAGGGCAATGAGAGGGAGACCCGTGTCCGCTGCCAGCCTCGGCGTCCACGTGGTCGGGGGGAGGGGAGAGAGAGAGACGGGGAGAGCAGGAGAGGAGAGGTTGGAGATGGGGAGGGAGGAAACAAGAGCAACAGGGAGAGAGCAGGGAACCAGGGAGGCTTATGAGAGACGGGGAGGACAAGAGAGGGGTAAGGGGGAAAGACCAAGAGGGTAAGAGAGGGAGAGAGGGAAAACTAAGAGGGTAAGGGAGGGAGAAACTAGGAGCAGGGAGAAGGGTAGGGAAAGGCTAAGATGTGAGAGAGGGGTAATAACTAAGAGAGCTCGAAGTTCTTGTTACAATACAATATATCTTTTTCTATAGTGAATATTCTAATTCCCAGTAACCAATCACTACGAGATACACCCACTAAAAAGTTTACATACAGCCTATGAGCATCTCCATATTAACATACAGTGTTGCATTTTAAACTCTAAAAGCTTTCCAAGTTCTTTCCTTGCTTCTTGACCTTTGGATTTTCTGTCAGCAGAAGGACATTATTTCATCATTAGGGATTCTCCTTTAGCTGGCTAGGCTATTGTTCTTTGGTTATATAGTAACTAGTACTCAGCATCATGACTCCAAGCAGGCTTTCATTTCTACTTTGATTCTAGGCTTCATATTTTCAGAATCTTCTGCCAAACAATCACATTCATAAGGTTTCCCTGTTTCATCCTCCCCAACAATCTGTTATGGTCTTTTTTACATTAGAAAAAATACTTAATTTTTATTGATCAGAAGTAATCTAATCAAGATTTCTTTTATCACACAATTCTTCCCCTTTCCCTGCTTTTGTGCTTGTAGTGCTCCTTACCACTTTGTATAGAACTGCCTATCCTGCATAAACATTCCATTGATTTGAAACATACATTTTAATCTCAAATTTTTAGATTTGTGCCTTATTTTAACTACATCTCCTAAAATTAAAGATAGAAAGCTCTTTGTCTTTCGTTGGTTAAAATGACCTTAGAAGAACCATGAGAAGATCAAAGTAAAAAGTAGAAATGGGATAGGGATGTCTCAAAAGGCCTGGCTAGGGTCTTCTAGCAAAGAAAAGAACAATTCAACTTAATATTCCTTATGCAAAAAAAATTAGAAATGCTTGGCTTCTAAATAAAGTTGAAAAAAAAAGATATAAAAGGAATGCCACTTTTTGCCCCATATTCAATGGGACTTTTTACTGTCTGCTTGTGCTTTACTAAATGAGAAATCTGATTCACTTCTGCTGGAAATAAGTATTATTTTAACTTGAGTCAAGTCAATACTTAAACTGTTAGAGGAACTATTTTTGAATGGATTATATATTTCCTGGGAGCTCAAAGCAGTCAGTGAGCTGATGAGCTTACAATGGGAATAATGTGGTTTTTTTTAAAAAAGTTGAAAATTGTTGTGGCTGCCCCATCCCTGGAAATGTTCAAGGCTGGGTTGGACAGGGCTTAGAGCAACCTGGTCTAGTGAATTAGTGGGTCTAGTGCCCACCCTGGCAGGGGGTTGGAGTTAGATAGTTTTTAAGGCCCCTTCAAACCCAAACAATTCTGTGATTATCTTATTCCATGATTCTGTTTCTTTGCCCTGAGCCAGATCTCTCAGAGGCATGCCTGAAGCAGCCATCTGTGGGCAGCGGCTTCTCTCTTTATGTGAAAAAGAATTGAGAAAAAAGCTTGGGTGAAGCTGGTTGCTGAGACAGAGGTGGAAGTCCCTGTGCAGGGGGACCAGTCTGGAATGCAGAGCGAGGTGCTGGCTGCTCACTGTAGGGAGGAAGCTTGCAGCTCTGCCCTCCCAGCAGCTGTGTGTCTGAATGTATAGGTCATACTATTGTCAAGAGAAGCTTCTGACAAGTGAATATGGAAAATAGAAACAAAAAGAAAGATATTGGAGCATAAGAACAAAACAGTGCTTTGCTTCCTTTTCCAGGTGGATGTTTGGATTATATCCTTCTTCAGCACTGAAGAGCATGGCCTTTTGCTGCAAGACAGCTTTCCATTGCCTTCATCCTACCAGGTTCTTCTGGGCATAGAGGTGCCACATTATTACTTTGCAAAAAAGGTGAGCTAATCTCTAAGAATTCCTTCCCTTCCCAGAAATTCAGACTTTCTACTGTATAGGGATCAAATTTAACCAAATTGAGTCTGGGGTAGATAGAGCAACTCCAATGGCAGGGGTGCATCACAGGTAAAAATGACATAAAGATAATTCTGATGCAGATGAGCTTCACAGAGTTGTGGAATTTGTAATGAGATAGCTTTTTATGGGTATTGTAAACTGAATGTGACAAGTGTAAGAGAAACAGGAATTACCAGGTAATACAATTGAAAAAGGGACACGGAAAAAAACTCTGCTTTATCTAGTCACTGTGCCTATTGCAAGTACAAGGGGTGTGTGTGTGTGTGAGATTTATGCAGGCTGTTAGATAGGACATTTCATACTGGCTTTGGCAGAAGTATCTCACTTCCTTGTTGGAATAATGCTTAATCTTCAAGAATACCTAAGAGAGTATTTTTAATAGTCATCTTGCACCAGCAACAAGTGCTTGTGTGCTGCAAATGCCAAGAATGCAGGCTCTAAGTTCTAAAGCTTGGAATTTCAATCCAAAATTGTTTGCATCTCATGTAAATAATACCCTACATAATTCCATGCATACTGGGCAAGCTGCAGCCTTTTACCTACAAATTGGTTTCTGGTGAAGTTATGACCTGAGTTTCCTAGTGCTTCTTAGGATGATGATTTGCTCTGTTCCTGTCTTGTAGGGACAGTGGGAGTGTAACAGATCCCATTTACTGTATTTAGTTTTGTAAAATCTACCAGAAATTGATATTCGTGATACTTCTGATCCTCACATAGTTTGGGAACAGTATTAGATAGGGAGAATGTATCTATTCATTATGTTAAGATTCAGAGCATCACTTTGCAATTTCTCCCCTTCAAAGCACTGCCTGTTGTCAGTCTTCCTGTGAAGACTGAGCTTTTAGAGTTGTACTGTGTTTTACTTTCCTTTTTCCCTTAAATTGAAAGGTCAAATGTGATATGCTGCATTTTCCAGTCTTTCTTTTTAATACTTCTCCATCACATCTCATGCTATTTTACTTTGATATTATGTTTCTTTTTTTTTTCTTTTTTTTTTTGACTCTGTATGTATTACTGCTGCCATTAGTTGTGTTTTCAGAGGGGATGTCTCTATAAACCTGTAAGTATCTGCATTGCTTTGGTCCTCTTCCTTCATCCTCTGCTCCTCTCTTGTTTCCATTTTCTTGGTAGGTGGTTGTCTCTTTCTGACAGTCACTTTTCACATCACTTGTATTCATTTGGGAAACTTAATTTAATATAATAGTAGAGTCTGCTTTAAATACAGCAAATTAAGTTGATGCAACAAGCCTTGTTGACCAAGTTTAGTTCCAGGGTTTCTCCTTATTCACTATAATGTCTCTACTCTCCTGGTTCCAGAAATTCCTCAAGTTCTAGTCAAACAGATGTGTGCTTTTGATTTCTGTGGTTTACTGTACCCAGGACTTCCACTGTATTATAATATAATACAATTTTTAGTGGTTTCTGTATACCTTAAAATTTAGTTATCTTCTGTAACTATACAACTGGGGGAGATGGGGGAGAGTGTCCATGGACTTTGGCATCATTTATGACTCAGATGATCTTCCTCTGTGCCTGGCTTGGGAAAGTTTCCTTATTACACTCCAGACAGATCATTTGACATTGAGGATTGAGACTTTATTGTTTTTCTGCATAATGATTGAATTGCTTTGAGTTGCCTTCAGTGAGTGATGAAAGTACCCCTGAAGCTTTAGAACGGCTTGAAGCTTTAGAGCTGTAAGGGGAAGGGTTTAAACCCGAGCTTCAGTATTCATTAGATTTACATGAAGACAAGGATAAAAGAATTTGGTCTGTATAGTTAAATTTCAGAACAGCAGACTAATATTTGAGAAGAAACTTGGAAACATGCTTATCTGAAATCTTCAGAAAGCTGTGAATTTAACAGTTGCTATTATAATAGTAGTACTATTAGTTTACATATATATATATAAAATAATAATGATGGTAATAAAAGGAGGTTACCTTTCTGTGGTTACCAATCTCCAATGATCACTGACATGCTGTGATTGTTCACTGCAATATGCTAATCTCTTCTATGACAGTCCATATTTTGTGGAATTTTTGGTGGCATTTTCTAGGATGTTCTGAAACTTCACAACTATTGTCACTATTGATCATGGTCCTGCAGATATAAAAAACTTGGACTGTGGTGGAAATAGTGTAATTAATTACATGTACAAAGGAGTAAATTTCAGCCTGCTAACCTATATGACAACCTTCTCCTTTTAGCTGGGAGAAGCTGAGAAGGGAGCATCAGAGTCTGGCTCAGGAACAGTCTCTCAGATGGTTGCAAGAAGACCCATGAGAGATTTCATTGGACTGGGGGACTGTGATAGCACCACCCAGGATGCCATGCTGAACTTCAGCTACTATCTGACTGCTGGAGACATGGATGAGGCCTTCAAATCCATCAAGCTCATAAAAAGGTATCAAAACTATTTGTATGTATATCTTCATGGGTGCAGTTTATTTTTGTTAAAAGTTTGTATGAAGTGTAGATCTTAGATTCTCCTTACCTTTTCCCTCTCTGATTTCATTCTCCCTTTCATTTTTAACCAGAGGAAACATCTTTATCTCACAGACATTTTAATGCTCTGCTCATTCTTTGTCTATAATACATTGTGGATTCTTTTTTACTAAAAGAGAAAGAATTACTGATAACCCGCAACATTATCCTGTGTCTGAATGGCAAAAGTGTCATCACTAGAAGAAAATGAACATTCACAATTTTATTTATACATCTAAAATAATCACAGCAATACCAAGTGTTATAGATTTACCAACCACATAGCTGTTTTTTAAATTCACATGTACATTATTATAATATGGATATTGCAATATTAGAGGAAATAATATAATGTCTCTTAAATACTCTAATATTTTATTTTAAGAACCACCGCATTTAATCATATTATTTCTGGACTTCTTTTTTTTTCCCAGAAAATTAATGCAGGCAGATGAATACTGATCTTAGTTGGTTTTTACAAACCTACTGCTAGAAGAAACTCTTTGTCAGCTTTATGGTATTTCCCCTGACAGTCTAGAGCAGTGCAGTTGTTCTAGAGCATCAGTCTCTGTAGAGTGTTTCTCATTTGGAATGTGGTGCAGAGCAGCAGTCGGGGTTGAGTTTCTTATCATAACCAAACTGAGTGCAGAACAGAACTCAAGAGCCAGCTTGATGATCACATTTTTAAAAAGTGTGGAAATAGTGATAAAGAAGCAAAGCAGTGTACTCAGCTGGGAGCAACACAACTGTCTTGAGGAATTTGTAACATTCACAGCTCATGGTCCCTCAAACCTATCAGTAATTGTGCTCAGAGCAGCATTCTGAGAGCGCTTACTCACCTGTCATTGCCTCAGGTTCCTGTATCCCATGTATTCGTGCATAATAGTTTTTGATATGTTGTGGGTTCTTTTCTGAAAATTATATGCATATGACTTTTGTGAGGCCATGTGCTTCTCAGGTTAAGGCTTATAAACATTATACCTAATTCTATAGGCATTACTTTTTCACTTCATTATCATATTAAACTATCAGGCAGGTTGTTTTTAAATCTCAAAATCATGAAGTCCTGTATATTTATTTTATTCTCCAGTCTGGGTGCTTGAGTGGCAGCTCTGTTCTCCAATATTCCCTGTGTTATGTGGCTCTGGGCATTGCTGGGCAGAACTGGTGTCCTGCCATAGCATTCTAATGTCACATCAAATGTTATAACTAGCTGGTGAGAAAAGAAACCAAAGTGGGATGGAATATTTCTTTTTTATAATAGTTCCCAACAATGCAATTTAATAATATATTTGATTATTAGGGAGTTCAGGTAGCCTCCTGTGGACATTTGCCCTCAATGTAACATTGAAACATTTTTTCAGCAGCATGTGTGGCCTGTTCTAGCTGCGTACCATTCTCATTTTTAATGTCTGTTTATGCATAGGACGTTAGCAAACCTGTGTCTCAGGATACAAAAGAAATGTCTGAAAAAAGTGCAGCTTAATTCTTCTGCAATTCCTTTCTTTACATAAGAATAGTTAGAGTTGCTTTTGCTTTTTACTTTCTGGTCTGTTCTGGGGCTGGGAGCAGGTATTGCAGCTAATGAGAATTTGTTCCTTGTAGAGAGGTGAATAGAAGAACTAGAAAGTCATGAAATTTAGACAGTTTTTAAACCCACCACTTAGTCTATAGTGAGTTTTCTGCTTTCTCAGATTGCATGTTAACTCCCAAGCTATTGTCACTGGTTTCCTATACCTTTTTGTTTTATTTTTAGGGAGCAGGAGAACTTGATGCAGACAGAGAAAATGTGTTTGGTTCCCTCTTTCCTGTATTCTCATTGCATACACTTGTTATCTTTTCCAGCTGACCCTGCTGCCATGCAGCCAACCCAACAATTCTGTGCTGTACAGCAGAAGGAGAGGGGAATATAATATTTTATATATATATATATATATATATATATATATATATATATATATATATAATTCTGTGTTTTATACATATGTATAGAGATGGAGCCCATCCAATACCATCCAATAATCAAGGGCCTCTGCCCAAACAAGTGAACATTGTAATGTCTTGCAACCCTTAAATTACAGCATATATAGAAAACAACTCCAATGCAGATTTCCTTGGTGATCTTTCATCTTTCAAGTGTGCTCTTTCAGCATGGTGACTCAACATAGTCATTTTCCAAGCCACGGCGAAAGCGAGCAGTCAGGGTGCGGCTGATGACAATGACCCGGGGTGCCATGCAGTCCTCACGCCTGTGGAGGATGTTCCAGATTAGAATGGCAGCTGCCAGTGTGGCCAGAAGGCAGGCTCCAATGTTCAGGTAGCAGGACCATGAGAGGTTGGTGTATGGTCCGATACGATAGAATGTCACCAGTCCGATAACCAGAACAAAACCTGCAAGCAAAATGGCAGAGTTATTTTTAACGAGCTTTTCTCTTGAATTTCTGTAGTGGCAAAATGTTATAGGCATCTCAACATTTACAGACTCACTGTTCATAAGTCTGTCGAGCCTTTCCATCCCTATTATGATATGCTGGATGTGTTTTTGAAGGCATATTTGAGCCTCACAATACATGCAAAGAGAGTGCGTTAAACAGAGGCTCAGTATTAAATTTAAATCTGTTCACTCTGATTTAAGTTTCTTGCACCCACTGAGCTGTATTTCATGTTGGGTTTTTTCCCCCATGCATTTGAATTACTTACACAGATGTCCTTTTTCTTACTTGCCAGAAGAGAAAACGGTATTAATGATGATGATGAAGATAATAATAGTAATAATTTAAAAAATCTTTTATTCACAGTACGTACACTTACTGTGAAACTTTAAAATGCTTATTAAGGCAGGCCACTATGTAAACTGCAAATATGAGGAATAGCTAAATATCTTACAGAAATAATAAAAAGCAATGTTAAAATTAAGTAACTCAAAAAAAAGGGAAGGTGAAATAAATTGAACTTCATTGTCCTACTTTTTCTTGCTGGAAAAAAGTGTTATGAGGCAGAAGTAATGTCATACCTCTAGAAGCTACTGAAGACAAAGTTTCTATTGTCCTTGTAACCTTAAGCACAGTACTAAGTTCCCTAAAAGGTAAGTAATACTAGAGTAATAACAGTGTACTTGTCTAGCATTTCCATTCAGGTGTCACAATGTGATTTGCAAAAACAGTGAAAAAAAAAGGAAAATTTCTCATTCTCTTTGGTGGTTACATTACTGATGAATTATAGTAATATTATTTCAGAAGTGAGGTGGGGTAACTGTTCTAGTTATGCAGGAGATCCATGTTAGATCAAGAGGCAATCTGTATCCCTTTACACCTTTTTTATGTCACCAACACCTGTCCATTCCCTGAAGAATGCATTGATAACCACATGATTACTTTTCTGCTCTTCGTTTATTGTATTATCAGAGAACTGTACCATCCCAGGATGGTTTGGATTGGAAGGAGCCTTAAAGCTCATTGCATTCCATCCCCTGCCATGGGCAGAGACACCTCCCACTACCCCATGTTGCTCCAAGCCCCGTCCAACCTGGCCTTGGACACTTTCAGGGATCCAGGGGCAGCCACAGCTTCTCTGAGCAACCTGTGCCAGGGCCTGCCCACCTTCCCAGGGAACAATTACTTCCCAATATCCCATCTAACCCTGTTTTTGGCAGTGGGAAGCCATTCCCCCTTGTCCTGTCCCTTAAGGCCTTTGTCCCAAGTTCCTCTACAGCTGTCCTGGACCTCCTTTAGGCACTGGAAGGGGCTGTGATGTTTCCATGGAATCTCCTCTTCTCAAGGTTGAACATCCCCAGCTCTCCCAGCCTGGCTTCAGAGCAGAATGGCTCCAGCCTAGTCTTTCTTCCTGTACCTGTTGTCAAACAAAACTATTTTTCAACTTCTTAAAAGAAATTCATGGATGTAATTAGATTGAAACAAAGAGGCAAGTATGCCTCACTAACCAAAAAAAGATTTTCTCTTTGTTATCCTACACACTTCCTTAACCACCACCAAGACAAAGGAATGTCATTGCCAAAACGACCCCTTCATGAAGGAAGACTGGAATAAATAAATATCCATGAACTGCCAGAACATATCTGCACACCATCTTCCTAAGTTCATGGGCAAGGAGAAGTCAAGAGCTTCCCAGTTGCTGCATGCTGTTTTCTCAGCTTGCCACAGTGCCTGTGCCTGCAAACATTATCCCCATGGATACATGGCAATGATATGACCCCTGGCCCTGGTCCTTGATTTTCCATGAAAGAGCATATCCTGAGTGTGCATTGTACGAATTCTTTTCTTAAAAGAGTACACTGGTAGTGCAGTGAAGATGGAAAAGACACAAGTTACATACAGATAAAAAACACAGAGGATGGAAATGACATACAAGTAGGAGGAAAACAATCATTACTCTAAGGTGTGACACTTGTGCTATTTTGAGAATCAGTAAAATGAAGGCTGAATCCCCCTCCTCATAATACAAACACTGAATGGATATTCCTTCAGGAGATGTCTGGCATACTTGGCTCTCCTGTGTCTACCTAGAAGGTGCTTTGTAACAGTTGCTTGCTTCACCTTCTACTGAGGTGGCACTGTCCCACAGCTGGCATGTCCAGAGAGGGTTTGGAGTGAGGCATTTCTCTGTCTGAGGACAAATAAGGAGAAAATAGGTTCTTATGGGAGGAGAAGCTTTTTACTGCTCTTTCCCCACTCTGATGTTAAAAAAAGCCTAATATACCCTGGATGGATTTTAGGTTGTTAACACAGTTGTAAGGACACAGTAACTCCTCCGTTTTGTCAATAAATCTGGTAGTTATTTTATGATTCATCTTAGTTATAAATAAACAAGTTTCATTTGGAGAGAATGTGGCCATGTGGAGCACACTGAGTTGTAGAAATCACTGGTCCATACAATAATGGTTTTCTGGTGCAAATAAAATAT